AAAAAATTCAAAATTGAAATCATTCCATACGTACTTAAGAAAAACCATCCCCTCCACAACAGTTCTGCCAGGGTGGACAATTCAAATAAACTCTAGCTCAAAAGAGCCAATGCCTAGTCGAAAATATCATAGGATCCATTCTCAAACATCTCTCTTTGCCAGTAGGACGTGGTACGTGTCCTCTACGGCAGTATTTCGCGCAGCAATGGACTGCAGGTAAAGGTTTATGAACCGGGGCCTCTGGACTGAGTGGTTTTGCGCAAATGGCAACCAACAGATAGCGGTTATGGCCAGAGCCAATACGCTCTTAATGACGTTAAATCCTTGAGATATGAATCAATAGGATATGAATCGATAGGACAAAGCCTCTGTCAGCTAAGGTGGATTCAAATTTTGTCCCCTTAGACAAACTTCAACCTCGGTCTCAAGGTCCCCTTGGACGAAGCACCTCAATGGTGCCGACAGGGATCTTCTGTCAGGTTGGGTGACTACTCCTCTGACTAAGTAGACAGGGGAACAGCGATGGCCCCGGGATGAAGGATCATGGGATCTTGATCGGGTCATCTCCTATCCACATCCGCTTTGATATACGATGGTGAAATTTCTATTTTTAAATATCAATTTTCTAAATTCAAATTCCAATTATTTCAAACTTTCCAACCTTCCAAATACCATCTAAACTCAATTTCCAATTCATAACCTAAGCTGCTACTATAATGCAGATAACACCTATATCTAGTATCTGATTGACGCTAGCTTAATCGAAGTTCTCTCTCGTGGATCGAGAGGGGTAATTAACTATAAGGGGCTTTGCGCCTATAGGAACCAGAACTCAGTCATAAAGTCCTACAAATGAGGGCGAATCTCTGGGTAGTGTCTTATCTACAAACCCATCTGCTTCCAAATTTACCTCGGAACTTATTCAGTTAAACTCCTCGTCAAATAATAAAAGAAAAGGAGCGAGGCCGGGGCCGAATTTTCGGAGCCACAAAGCGAAGGTTTGTATGTACATAAACTAAATCTTCAGCCCGTTGTGGAGTAATTTTATTTCTCTTCATTGATTGGATGAACAAATATGTGCTCCAATTTCTTTCACACAAGAGAGGAAGAAACTGGCAACAATTTTAATGGCGATTTGTTTGAAGTAGAGGTGCTGGAAGCTCCATGTATAATCCACACTTTTTTGGTCAATTCTCCACCTATCACGAATGACTGTTGTCACCAAAGTCTTCTAATAACCAAAAATTTAGCAAGCTCAATATTGACATTCTTCTTCTCTCATCATTTGGAAAATAACGCTTCAACATGCCTTTCTCATATTTGAAATTTCTAAATTTTCTGTGGAGAAACCTTTTGAGGATCCTCTTGAAGCCTTTCTTTAGTTGAATATCTTCAAAGAATATTAAAAACAAATAATAAGTAAATATTAAAATTACCAAACAACAAATTATAAATTAATAATGAAAAAATGTTGAAATTTACCTGGGATTTAGTGAGTGAGCCGCATGTAAAGGTGTATTACTTTTGCTCAACCTATATTCTGAAATAGTATAAATAACATTCCAAAAGCTTGAGTCTTCATGAAGTGCTTTCTTCAAATGTCTATATATAATTTCTTTTACTTTGGCTAACATTGAATCCCACATCTTATAAATGAGATGTAAACTAGACTTATCCGTATCCGCTACTCTTAACATCTCATAAATTGGATCTGTGAAGTTTAAGATGTATTCAATATCATCCCACCATAAATCATCTAAAAGCTTCTCCTTTACATACCTAGCCTTTCCAACATCATCTTCTCTATAACAGGACCATTTGTCACTGATCACCATAGCTTGTAGAGCATTTTTAATCTTTTTGAATCTTCTCAACATCACTATAACTGAGGCAAATCGAGTTTCTGGAATTGCAAGCATCTTCAAATTAGAAAAATCATTGAACATAGAGAGTCTCATGGAGTGGTTCATAATAAAATTCCTAATTACAATTGCATCTCCAGCAATCACTGTGGTTCAATGAAATTCATTGTAGGTGATTTCGTTTGCCTCGGTATTCTTAGCTGCACAAATGTTTTTTAAGGCAAGATTAAGCGTATGCATAACACATGGACCATCAGTAGACCCAATTCCTACACCACTAGAGCTCATTATCATATGAAAGATCGACACAAATTAATTCATATGAATTTGAAACATGAAAATTTTTAACTAGAAGTGTATATATGTTGCGCCTATGCCGGGGGTCCAAGGGAACGTTGCCCCCTTGCGGGGTTCGACCTGCCCGGTCAGGTCGTGGGGTTAAGGGGCAGAGCCCCTGCTGCGGTTTCCAAGGGCAGCGCCCCCGGAACAAAAATTTTATTGTAAGAGTTGCTTTAAAGTTTTCTCTACCTTCTCCGTACTGAGCAATACCGAGCAGTACTGAGTACCGAGTACCTAGCAGTACCGAGTACCGAGCGGTACTGACTTATAGTATCGAGTACCAAGTACCGAGCGAGTTTGCGAGCGATACCGAGCAGTACTGAGCGATACCGAGTGGTACTCGGTACTGAAATCTGGTATCGAGCCTAAGATTAAGAAAACGAAGAACGAAGAAAACGAACCTTCAATGCTCACGTCGCCTTTACTGTTTGTGTTGTCGAGCCGCTCCGTTGACGAAGGATTCTGTCAGCTTTAATGCTCGCGTCGTCGAGCTTCTTTGTCGACGAAGGATGATCCTGTCCGCTTCTATGCTCGCGTCGTCGAGCCGCTCCTTCGATTATAACAAAGAAGACAAACACCTGTGCGGAACCGAAAAACCTAGCCCGCCGAAATGTTTAAGCCGCATAAATGAATAGGGATATCGAGCGGACAGCCGAAATGAATAGGGCAAATTACGCGTGTCCGATCAAATTTAAATAATATTTTAATTGGACACGGCAAAGCCGTATCCGAAATGTGTCCGATACAGCATGCCTCGTAAATAGGCGTATCCGTGCAACATAGCCAAGCATATAGTCGAATCTTGTGTCATCGGATCTCAGATTAACATGTCTGATCCTCTATTGCAGCCAATCATTGTTGGCTTTTGTCAACTCCCCTATAAGTTTAGGCGTCCTCTTGCATGTATGGGCCTCTCTCTTTCGACTTTGTTGGGATATCTTTAAAAATTAGCGTGAGTAACCAGGTTGATTTTGAAAGATAGTTCAGTTGATTCTTTTAATAATACTCTAAGCTCTATTTATGTTAGAGGAAACCCAAAGAGTGCCGTAATTGCATAATATTTACGTTGCATTTAATATACATTTCAAATTTGATAGGCGTGTGGTGATTGACTTTTTTTATTTGTTTATTATTATTATTATTTACTTTAATTGTGGGGTCCACTGAAATAGGTCAGAGGTCCTATGCCCTTCATCGATCTGTGAAGGAGGATTTCTAATATGCTAAGTCCATTGTGCAGTTATTCTAATTTGTCAATATTAGTTTAAATCATATAATATATTTTTGCATGGCCCTGATAATTTTGGAAAATGTTTTAGTGACATTTGTATTTTGATTGTCATGTATTCAAAGTTGCTCTTTTGGGATATCCATACCTGGTACCTTTATTTTTTGGCAATGATCCTTTGGCGAGTTCATGGCCCGAGGAGAAACTTGTGAAATTGAAGAATAGCAAATGTGCATCCAAATGGGTTAGGCTAGCCTATGACCAAAACGTTCAGAAAGCTGTGATGTGAACATGCTTAAATGGGCTTAGGCCCCTATTCCGCGGTCCCATCCATTAATGTCATTTAAAAGCCTCACCACAATTCACATAAATGTTCGTCAATCAACTCATAATTGGAAATAAAATGATATTGACTGCATGATTTGAACTCCTAACCTAACCTCTCGAAAAACATAATTAAACACTAACCAATTGAAAAACTATTTTTTAAATATTATCTTATGTATCAAACTTCCATAATTTATTAATTTTTTAGTTGATTCCAATTTTTTTTTTTAACTCATTGTAAACTCAAAAATAATTCAAAACGTTAAACAAATGCTTGCATCTCAACCCAAATAGGTTTATTTTAATTTGCATTGGTCTAAAAAAATTGAGTTTTCTCATTAAATTTTTTTGGAGAAACATATAATATTTAAATGTATAAATAGACTTCAATGACTATCCCACCAAAGCTCATCATACATTTGGGTTGGTCGAAGTCCAGGTTGGGCTTTGGAAGGCTTAGTTAAATGGGCTTAAATGGGTTTTGCATCCCATTTGGCATCCCCTGCCTTCAATTCTCATTCCTTGAAAAGATCAAGGGTGGGCTGGAGTTACAAAATTAGATCCTTTTATCATGTCTCTTTATGTTTTTATTCAAGGTTGCTTTCATTCTTATATATGCTATTTGATCTTGCATATATCTGGAAACAATCTTTGAGATACTATGCTAAGGATCTATTACTTCGATATTCTCATTTATGTGTCCAGCTACAGAGTTTCATCTGCTCTTTTTTGCGATTGCATTCACCTTTTTGATGAATTCTTTGCAACCTCTCTATCATGCCGCAAATTTCTCCTTGAACCATATTATATTTCCACCCCATGCCAAAACAGACTTAAAAGAGCATATTAAACTACATAGGGCATTATGTCTTGATTTTTTTGGGGGGTTAAACGTTATTTTATGTTGTTCGAGATTTCTAATGCTCAAGCACTGCTAATCGTGTAGCATTTACCTTGCAAAATACTTTATTTTCCACAGCTTGACTATTAATTCTTCTTATGAATCTCAAAGGTTTTTAAGTAATCTAATTGTTACTCGACTGTTATTTAGCACAGAACCCAGCATTTATTGTCTTCTGACTATGATTTGATTATTTTGTGGCCTATCATTATCACTTCCGACTTTAAAAATATTTTGCCCATTTGGACTATTCTTATTTAAAGCGTTATTATTCTTTTATTTAGTTGAGCTTTGGTAACGCCCCATGTGTTTTTTTTTTTTTTTTGTAATTTTGCATATCCAGAAAATAATGTGGAAATTAAACAAGTCTATTGCCAAAGAATTGCTGCCCACACAACCTGTGGACTTTGCAGTTGAACCATGGTGGGGAGTTTGTCTTGTTAACTTTACATTGGAAGAATTTAAGGTATTGGTTGCAATAAATTTGTTTTGCATGATGAATTTAACATTAACAGAGTATTTTTTCTTCAGCAATTATGCAACTTTCAAGAATACTAATCAATGTACATGAATCTTATGGAAAATTGTGAAAATTCTTTTTTTTTTCCCTTAGAAACTAACTGAAGAAGAAATGGCAACCATTGACAAAGTTTGCAAGGAAGAAGCAAATTCATTTATGCTCTTTGATTCTAGTATTGTAAAAGGTCTTTATCGAAGGGGGTTGGTGTACTTTGATGTTCCTGTGTATTCTGATGACCGTTTCAAAGGTATGATTTCAGACATAACTTAGAAGCGCTTCTTCCATTGATTGTTGAGTACTGTAGCTTGTATTTGTGACTTTATTATCAGATTTCTGATAAACCTTTTTTCCTTTGACACAAAAAACAAACTTTTTTAATGAGTCCTTTCTTATTATTTTTTGTTAAATAGTGTCATTGTTTAGTTTCTTCACTAATTTTAATCTTGAGGTTTGTGGTTCGAATTAGTAAAATAGCCTCATGTTGCTGATCATCCCTAGCTTGACCTAGCAGTAATGGGACTAAATATGCCCGTTTACAAGTAATAATTTTTTCAGGCCTTCTCTCTCTCTCTCTCTCTCTCTCTCTCTCTCTCTCTCTCTATATATATATATATATATATAATTCATTCAAAATTCGTTGAATAAATATCAGTAAACTCAACCTTTTTTTGTAAACTTATCATTTGCACTTTTAAAGAATTCGAATAGCACTCTTTATTAAATCATTTATAATTTAGAATGATTTTTAAAGGCACAACACAATATAATATTAAAATTACAATAAAATTATTTTTTAAATAAAATATTAATACATGTACTTAGGGCACAAACATTTTTACTTGTGTTTGTATATATGTATGCACTTTGTCCTATCTAAAGAAAAAGGATATTTTCTGACTGATTATTATTACTCTGAAATGAAAATTAACATCATTAATTATGATATACCATTTATATGTGAAATAGAAAATTTAATATTGTTTACTAAATATACAGCATGATGAAAAACTCAACAATTTATACTTTATCATGCCACAAAGTTTAGTTCTGTAGTGATTAAAATGAATCATTAAGTTCTAATTGTACATTTGAAATTAATCACCATAGAGGTGAAGTAAAAAATGGGTTAATCCTAGTCTTGGACTCTCTTTTCTAATAGTGATCATGCAACAATTTTATACATGCCTAATTTTATGTGCATGCCTACCTTTATATTTGGAACATAGCTGGCAACGAAGATTATATTTGTGCGCCTGCAGTTTTATTTGCAATTGAGCTTTTAAACGCAGTGAACTACTCAACTACTTGCTTACTTTTCAAATACCTCGCTAAATAATGCAATGTTTGTTAGAAAGATCTTAAGAAATAAAATGGGCTTTGAGTGTACCAGTTATCGTTCTTTATGATCATGTAGCTATAGCGGATGTAGTGAAATGGTGGTTAGAAATGCTATGTTGACGTGGGAGAACAGAAGAATGAGAGATGTTGTTGGGATAGTAATCTCATTTGTAGCAACAAGAGATGTTGTGTTTTCCCTGTGTTCAATTGACATCAGATTGTATTTCTTAAGTTATTTTCCCATGACATGGCTTTTATGATGATTTTTTGGGCAGATGATTGTCTATATAGTCCTGCTAAGGTAGGAACTTGTGCTTTTGGGTTCCTATTGGCAAGTTTCGCTCCAAATATTCTAATCTTCATGTTAGATATTAGTTGTTAAATGATAGTTTTGTCCGGTGGAAAGTATGTTCTGTTATTAAGTACGAATTTTGTAATAGCTTGGCTTACTGAAACCATTATTTCAAGATCAATTTGTTTTGATCAGTGATCTGTCAACTTGAATAAAAGAAGTTTAAGTAGATCATTGAATGATGGATTTAATTTCTACTGCAATTTACTTTATTTTAGTTTCAGGTTCTAAGCAGATTTTTATATCCTTAATTCTTTTTTTTTTCCCTTGCTTGAATGGGTCTTGATCATTAATATTTGCTTCATTAGTCTCAAGGCTGGAAGGATTTGTTTCTAACAAGGAGCAGTCTTATGAAGATCCTATTGAAGAGTAAGTTCCTTACGATCCAAATGCACTTGATATGTTTCGTTTCTACATTATTTTGTTTGTAAAGGGGTAAATCATTCTACAGATTACTATATGCTGTTTTTGTAGTTTCAAGTGAGAATGCAACTGTTGCAGAGTTGGCTTCAACTCTCCAAGCTGACCTTTTTCAGCTGCAGGCTGCTGCTTCATTTGCTTGTCGATTAGGTTGGGCTGTAAAGATTATAGATCCAGAGTCCGTTCTAAAAAGTTCAAGTGTTGCTATCTCTTCTGGTACTCTTCTCAATGACGATGAAGATGGTTCTATTGCTAGTATCAGTTCAGAATCCTTACGAGTTCATAACCTTGGGATAGAACAGAATAGGCCTCTTTCTGAAACTGCTCGTGTTGCACTGGTTGTGGATGCTAATATAACTTCCTATCTGATGATGGGTTCTATTTCACCAGGTTAGTACTTTCCGTTTATCCTTAAACAATTGTTATTTTTTATGTTTTTTACTACAGCCAATTCTTGCGTGCATTTGACTTATAAGTGAAGAATGGTGCACATGATGGTGAAACATTTTTTTCTACTAGTAGACGTCTAATTGAATCACCTATCAAAAGGGGAAATGTGAAACTACGGAATCATGACGTTAATCTGATCAGGATTTACGATCAGCATTAATAGCCTGAGATTTATTAGTCATCTTTTCCTATTTTATTAGTAATTTGTATTTATAAAATATTAGAATTTGATACTTTTGCAATTTCACAGTTTATTTAGACTTTTTTAAACAAGTTCACGACTCCTACATGAGGAGAACATGACCTAAGTTTTTCATAAAGATTGATTATTGAATAAAATTGTTTTTTCCTTAAACCCTAGCTGTCGGCTCCTCTTTTAGTCTTTTTTTTTTAATTATCACCTGGTCTTCGCGTATTTTTTCTTTTGCCGTGTCAAACATTGTAGCGCAACATAAATAGATGGATCTGGTGTAGGACGACAATTGAAATTGTAGAGAGTAAAAAGGATAGGGGAGATAGACGAATGAATGCCTCAAAGGTAGGACGACAAGCTGAGTGATGAAGCTGAATTGCGAAACTCTGTAGGGAGAAAATCCTCAAAGTGGATACTGCTAGAATTCTTAGACTTTAATTCGTCATTACAATTTAAAACCATCTTTTTTATAGAAATAACAAATATCAAGATAAAAAAATGTATATCCTAATACAAATTCAAATCTAAATTTATCTTAATAATTGTCCAAAAGAATAATTTATTTATAGAAGGAGACACAATGTCCTAATTTAAAATAAAATAATAAAATAAAGTTTAAACTTTATTTCTTGCATGACATCAATTCCCCTTGGCTACAAATAACTCCACTTGGAGGAGTTAGAATATTGCTGGAGGAAGACTGAGAGGTCTTCAGCTGCCTCCTAGAGTTTCCTAGGAAGGTAGATGAATGAGAAATCCATCAAAGAAAAGGTCTCTCATGGGAAATTCATCCCGAACGGAAAATACGAGGGGAAGAGCATCACCATTAACAACAAAATCTACAAATCTTGAAGAACATGGCAACCTTGGAAAGCTATCTTGATGGTTTGAGAGTTTTACTTCATACAGCTAGGTTGACTTGATTTGATTGAATTATTGATTAAAACTATCTCAGACGTGACTGAAGAATTAGTTGACTATTTCTATTTTTTATTTTATTATTTTATCTCTTATAGTTGGGTTCATGAGAACGCTGTAGTTTATATAGATGAAGGCAGTGCTCTTGCATGTGAATGCCGCCTTTGAATGATAAAACCCAAATATCCCTCTTGGATTTCAACTCTAGGAATTTGCTCCAGAACTCGGATTATTTTGTCGATCCTTTCTTCCAACACAAGTTGTCAGCTTATCACAAAATTCTGGTTCTCCATGCTTCTTGAGGTTTCTCTAGCAAGCTCTTTTATTGTTTCAGGTTGTCTCTTTAGTTCCTGGCATATATTCACTTTCATCATTCTTTTGAGAATGTTGGATCCAAAGTTATCTGTGGATAAAGTAGAACCTTAATACGTTCGACGAGAGGAAAAGCAAAGATTAGAAAGAGAAATGAATAATCTAGAGTAAGGAGCTTTGGCATTTCACTAGAGTAAATTTGAGTACAAAAATTGCATATTTTAAGCTCAACCCTTGAGCTCTTTTTTATAGGTTTGGTGCTACGAGAGAGACTACATATTGAGTTATAGATAAGAAAAATATATGCAATATATCCTCAAAAAAAAAAGAAAAAAAAAGAAAAATATATAACAAGTTTTAATAGTTGTTTGGTGTAAATTACATAAGGCATGTAGTTTGATTACATTTGAACAACTATAGACTTGTTGGTGCAAGTTGTTGATTTGATTGAAGTAAGTTGTCGACTTTTGCTTTAGGCAATGTAACTTAAGGAAGTTACCAACTTGGCTGAAGAATGTTGTCGACTTAGCTTAAGGAAGTCACCGATTTGATTAGAGGAGATCATCAACATTGTTTAAATGAGCTCCTAAGCTTGGGCGAGTCCGTCCGGATGATCTTTAGAGTGTGTTGGCTAATTTGCCATGATCTTGGGGAGTTTACAATAGTTTGGTGAGTTTATGCCATTCATTGTTCTGAGTTGTCTGAGTTGTCTTGAATTGAGTCGACTAAGCCTGTAATAGTATTTAGAATATTTAGATGTACACCTTGGGCTATATTGAAAAATATAGATAACGAGGGCATAAATTTTATAGTTAAAGCTGCAATTAAATTGGAGAAATGTCTGAGTACAATATGATTTGGGATTAACATGTCAACTTTGGCAAATTTTTTGTAATTGGATGAACTATGCTACATGGCTTCATATGCTGACCAACAAAAAGTCATTTATGGTCAAGCTAAGGTGTGAGAGAAATGAGTTTGTTTAAATGTGTGGTAAACTAAGAAAAATGAGCTTGAAAATGATCAAAGTTTAAAATGCATAATTGAGTATTGAGGTGTTTTTCGTTCGTGAGGTGAGGCAAGGCATAAGCCTCAAAATTAAAAAAAATGCCTAAACTGAAAATAAATGCTATAAGTATCTTTTATATAACACTCAAATAATATATTAAATGATTATATATTAACTTTCTATTAAATTATGAAGTAATAAATTAACTGACATATGAAATAAAGAAATTACACAAGACGTAAATTGTCAAATGATAAATTAAGTGAAATAAAATTAAATCTAAATATTACAAGAGAAAAACAACGTATAGGAATTACATAAAAGTATCATTTAATATCAAAGTTCAACTTAAAAAAAAAATAAAAATAAAATTCAACTTTAAATTTCCTTATTTTCCAGTACCATACTCATCCACATTTAATTCTTGGAGAAAGCTAAAAGAGTTGACAATAATTTAGAAATCATCTTACTGTCCTCACTGAGGGGTTTTTTATTTGAGTCATCATCATGACAAATTGGTTTCTCTCTGTCTCATTCTGTGGAGTCCAATATTCCTAATTTGCTTATTTTATTTATTTTATTCATATTTATCTTTCATAAATGTTTGTCATTAATCTAGAGATGAGAGTAATACTATAAAATTTTTAGAGGAGGTGGTGGTGATGTGCTGCTTCCAATTGATCTCTGACGGCAGCTACGTCAATGGTGGTTGCAGCAGTGGTGGCTGGCAGGAGGTCAAGGAAGCCATGTCATGACCCGGCTTGAAGGCTCAAATGAACAAGGTTGAAACAGATGGTTAGAAGGTTTAAAATTTTAATTGTTAAAATTATCTCCAATATACTGAAAGAGCAACTAAAACCTCAATACATTTTAGAGTAAAATACTATAAGTATCTTTCTTAGAGTTTTGCGCTTATGATATACGTTTTCTCCGCTTCTACTCATTTAAGCTCTCTGAATAATACTTGTGTTCATTTGTAAATATGTGTGAGTCATAACTTAACTCAGCAAGCACATCATGCTTTTAAATATAATACAGAGCATTTGAATAATATGCATGTTCATTTTAAAACATTAAATAATTTTACTTAAAATTTATTTTGAATATAGCCATCAATATTATACATATCTATATATGGCAGATATTATATCTTTATCAATTATGTAAATAATATAAACATCTCAGGAGACACCGTCTAAAAATAGTACTAATATACTTCATTTTTTATTTCTTTTTTCATAACATTTTTTCATTTACCCGCGCAAGTATATCATGTCTCTAGGCAGTATCATAAGGGGTGTGCTTCATCAATCAAAATGGACATGAAAACAGTTATATCTAATCATTTCATTTATATATCATTCAAGAACTTTCTATAGTACATATGTTGAATCATGCTGATTATCAATAACTTAAAGATAACCATCATTCATTGAAAAAGATAATGCTAGGATTTCTCAATAATCATTAACTAACGAGTATCATTTGGTTCAATGTGATTAGATTATAGAAAACAATATTATTACTGTAAAAATAAGAACATGAGTACTCACCTCAAATTAAATGTTTTGAAGTTTTGCTTTTACTCCTTACTATGATATCGATATACTTATCACCTATATAAATTTTTTTTTTATCATCAAAATAGCTCACAAACTGTTACTCGGTATTTAAATTTTATGTTGTAAGTATATTGCTTATCATTAAATGAATTTTCTATCTTAGATGTTACAGAATTAATATATATATATATATATATATATACTCTTTCTATTTTCTTAGTAGTATTTACTAATTTATTCTCTAAAAATATATAAATCAATAAATTTAATAATTTTATTATAAAAGATATTAGATTTATTTTATTCTAAAAACTTTACTAACATATTTGTTAAAAAAACATTACTTAAATTTTATTAATAAAAACTTGCATTTCTTCCTCATGCACGTGACTCTTGCTTGCTCTAACCTCTCACCCTTTCCAACCTGCAGGCTTTCTCTCTCGCACCTGCTATCAATTTATTTCTCTTGGTCCCTTCCATCTCCCTCTCTTGACATTATATAGATGAAGCTTACGACTCCAAACAATTGAGTTGACTCGACCTCCCCATCTTCCTCCTGAGAACGAACCACTTTGCTCAATCCTTTGTCTTCTTCATCATCTTCGTCTTCCCAAGAATCCAAATTTCAGATTTGACTTGAGCTCCTTCGATTTCCTTGACTTTCAAGTGACAAAATTTGTTGTGATATTGAGCGATGAATCAATATCTTCATTCCCTTCGTCTCCCTTGACAGACAAATTCTGGCATTGAAACAGCCTCTTCATTCCCTTCATATACTCGAACTCTGTCTTCTTCTTCACTCCGTGACCAAGGTAATGTAAGCGACATACATTGGTTCGATTATTACAAATCGAGCGTAAGCTGTTGCGGCTCGGGAGTGCATGAAGGCGTGATTTGTTCAAGGCTTTAGTTTATGATTTAGATAAGTTTTAATAAAAAAAAAAAGAGTGAGATATACGCCTCATGCCACCGTGGCGAGGTGCGGCTTAGCCAAATTGAGGTGCTTGCCTAATAAAAAAAAGTTTGATGCATAAGCCTCAACTCTCAAGGTGTTTTTTACCAAAATTGTGCTGGGGCGGTCCTCAAGGTGAGCTTCATATTACGCAATTTTAAACAACGGAAACAATTATGTTTGATGGACAATAAGAGTGGATTTTGAAAATTGTGAGAAATAAACTTAACTCATTCTTTTGACATGCAAAATGGATTGTAGAACATGCATATGTTACAAGGATAAATAGATTTGATGTGGAAGGATTAGGAAGCAAATGGTAGACTACGGTAGCAAGGCTAAAATGTGTGCAAAGAGACTTGACAACATAAAATGGAGTTTGCACCTCATTAAGCGCTAAACATTGAATTGTTAGGATAAGGATTATGATGATGATGAGTTTTTAGGATGTTGTTAGTTCGCTTTACTACACTAAATTTAACTATTTGTTTTTTTTTTTTCTTGGTGGTAAACCTCTTGCAGGATTGAAGTCCCATGCCGTGACGTTGTATGAAGCAGGGAAGCTTGGCGATGAAGTTATAGCAGATCTTTGCAAGGATCTGTCTACTTTAGAAGGGAAAAAATTTGAAGGTGAACTGCAGGAATTTGCCAATCATGCATTTAGCCTTCGTTGCTTTCTAGAATGCTTACAGTCTGGTGGGATTGCTGCTGATGAAATAATTGAAAAGGTTAACCATCAAGTAGATGTGCAGGTCACCAATTCTGGGATTTCTTCCAATCTAGCTGATGTTGATCCGATGAATGAATGTTGTGGGCAGAAAAAACATGATGATGAAACTATATGGCCTGGTTATAATCAGAATTGCAAGGTTGAATCCGGTATACATGAATCTTATGCACCCATTTATGAGCATGAAGTACTTTCTAGTGCTTCTTTGGAAGTTGATATGAGCAAGGAAGACAATGATTTACAAAACAGCCACAACAGAGTTTCCCCGGATGGTTCAATATCTGAATTGATGATAAAAAGGAAATATCGAGCAGATATCCTTCGCTGTGAAAGCTTAGCTTCTCTTGCACCAGAAACACTGGAACGTTTATTTCTCAGGGACTATGACATTATTGTTTCAATGGTTCCTCTTCCTTCCTCTTCAATTCTACCTGGAGCTAGTGGTCCTATCCATTTTGGTCCACCCTCTTATTCATCAATGACACCCTGGATGAAGTTAGTATTATACACAACAATGGGCTCAGGCCCTGTATCAGTTGTTTTGATGAAAGGGCAGAGCCTACGCATGCTGCCTGCACCACTCATAGGATGCGAGAAGGCATTAATATGGTCTTGGGATGGATCTTCGATAGGCGGGCTTGGAGGAAAATTTGAAGGGAATTTGGTTAATGGTAATATTCTTTTGCATTGCTTGAATTCAATTGTCAAGTATTCCGCTGTGCTGGTACAACCTCTTAATAAACTTGACCTAGATGAGTCTGGAAGAATCATCACTGTTGATATTGCATTGCCCCTGAAAAACTTTGATGGATCAGTTGCCCATGTTGAGGATATAGGGTTAATCCTAGAAGAAAAAGAAAGCTTAAATTCTTTATTAGATGAACTTTCTGGCAAATTTGGTTTATGGACAATAGGTTATATTCGGCTTTTAAGGCTTCAAAAGGAAAAAAGACCTGATTCTTTCATCCCTGACAAGGACAAGTTTGAATGGGTTCCATTGAGCATGGAATTTGGCATACCCTTGTTCAGTCCGAAATTATGCAGCAGGATATGTGATAGGATGGTTTCATCATCTTTACTTCAGTCAAACTCACTCTGTGAGCATCACGAGGCAATGCAAGATCTAAGAATGAAGTTGCGTGAAATTTGTTTGGAGTACCATGCAAAAGGACCAATAGCAAAAATATTTTACCAGGCAGACTATATAAAGGAATCTCCTCGTCATTTAATAAACTACGCCAGTGGACGTTGGAGCCCCCTACTGGATCCTTCAACACCAACATCTGGAGCTGCAAGTGAACACCAGAGGCTTAAAGTAGCTAATAGGCACAGATGCCAAACTGAGGTTCTTAGTTTTGATGGAAATATTCTGAGGTACCCTTCCAAAATATTGTACAAAATCATAATTTTTCAGTTCTTCTCAAAATAATTATTTACAGAAGTCTAGAATACATATAAGGCATCAAAATAACATAAATAAAATTGGACTCATAAACAAAAAAACCTTAGCTACACTAGCTCTTGACAGATTTTAATCGAACCAACCCCTACTCGGCCAGTTTTCTTTTTCATGAAATAGTAGATTCCTCACAGAGTGAGCTCAGCAGGCTATCCCAAAATTCTGTTACAGGAATCAATATCATTATTTGCAATATACAAATAAAAGATTTAAATGATATTTATAGAATAACCGAAAATAACTTTACACTTAAAAAATATAAATTGAATGATTACTTTTGCTTATTGTTTTTTATTTTCTGAATAACAATATAGGTATGGTTTAAACTTGAACATGCATCAGAAATAACATTTTAAAACTTGTCACTTATACTTAAACATTGTTAACATTAACTGTATTTTCACAGAAGTATCAGAGTATGTTTGTTAATAGAATATCATTTATATTTAAACTTATTTCATTTAACAAAATATACAACATATGATTTATGATATGCACATATCTCAATGCTTGCTTATAATTTCACTTCAACTTGCTTTCCAAGGTCAACTCACTAGCTCACAGTAGATGAAGACTTAGCCAAATTTCTCTTATAACTCCACTTCTACTTATGACTCTTTTAAACCTCCCACACCAGCATAGTGGATAAGGCCAAAAATAGAAATAGCACAAAGCATAAAATAACATAATGGAGAGAGCTTTTATAAAATTGCTTATAGTGCACTTCAACATCTCCCACATCAAAACTTTCGCCATGACATATGTGCATGCATAACTTGTATATTTGACATGAAATTATAATATTTGACGTGGACATGAACTTGCATAACTTGTCACATATATGATACTTTAGGAGATAATGCATGTATCATTTGTATATACACTTAACCTTTGCCACTAGAAAAGTCATTTATAAGGAACCTTTAAAATATCATTCTAAGACTTTTAATGTGGCCAGCATTAGAAATATCATTTTTAAAAAAAATTCCTTCATCTCCTAAGCATTTCCGCATCTCTATTGGAATATCATTAGGTCCAAAAGCTTTTCCACTCTTCATTTTCTTTAAAACTTCTCTAACTTCGGTTTTAATAATTTTTTAAAAGATTTATGTCATAATGATTCTTAGTATATACATAACCCCCCCCCCCCCCAAGAGATTGGTATATTTTATAAGATTTTATAGATTTATTATTTATAAATTCTGAAATTTGCAAAACATGGGCATAACAAAATACAGACTTCTACCTTATATTTTGGAATATTACAATATTGAATGCATCTATTTTTTTGTTACTAGATGATAAGCGACACTTTTGGTTCATCTTTAGTATGCAAGTCATGCACCAAATAAGATTTTAGTTCATCTGTAGTATATAAATATACAAATAACATTGGAACTTATAACAATATATATAATAAAAATTCTTATGATACACAAGTAAGGTTCAATGATTATTTGCAGGTCATATGCACTACCTCCCGTCGACGAGGCTGCAACGAGACCAATTGATGAATCACCATTGATGACCTCAGGTAAACTGGAATCATTTGATGCAGAAAGTAGAGAAATAGTCCTGCCAGGTCTAAATCTTCTGTTTGATGGATCTCAATTGGTTCCCTTCGACATCGGTGCTTGCTTACAAGCTCGCCAACCTATTTCACTGATAGCAGAGGCCGCGGCTGCTTCTGCTTCATTGCAGGCAAGTACGGCTTTGTAATAAAGCATTTCTCACGTCAAGAAATTTTGCAAGAAATTGAAATGCTTTTGCTGGATCTTTTACAAGATATTTATTTATTTTCACTGTAAAGGTCGGCTCTTTTATCGTATTTCTTAGCATATAACTATAGATTGATTCATGATCAGAGTGTGGTGCTTATCAAGGAATCCAAAATATTTGCTATTTAGAAGCTTATTGTATGGGATGATTGGAATTTCATTGCAATAATAGGAGCCCTAATATAAGTTACACAGTAGATGGAATGCAAAATATTTCCTCTAATAATAGGAGCTTGTTGCAGTAAACTGCTGCTCTAGATTGCCTGTTTAATCTATCCTATTAAGGTTTTATTTGGGATGGTTTATTATTATTTTTTAAAATAATTTTTTTAGTATGATATTTTTTTTTGTGACCGCAGACTCTTAGAAGTGGATACAGAATCAAATAAAATTGAGTTTTCTATTATTCAAGCTCTTTTATTTATTTATTTTTTATATGTTGAATTTGAAATGAATGAGCAAAATTTTAATTTTTAAATGATATTTAAATCTTTTATTATTGATCTCTAGTTATATTCTCGTTTTGAGATGCCCCATCATTTATATATAGGATGTTAATTGTTAATAATTTAAATGAATATTCTTTCTATTTAAAAAATTGCATTCATATATATATTCGAAATTTGTCAAATATTTATACATAGTCAAATTGGCTTTATTAATCTATTCTAGTTCACTTTTTTTTTATTAAATGTTAGTTTAAAAATAAATTTATTTTAAAAAATTTCAACCAATTATTTTCTCTTATTTTTAGCGTACTTATACTTTAGTAATATAACTTTTGAAGTGCATATAGTATACAATAAATTGAGATAATAAGTTATAAAAAAGCGACTAACTCATCATTAAATGAATATTTTATCTAATTTTTAATTTGTTAATTATTAAACAACAAATAAAAATATTTACTAACAGCATTGATTTGTTCGAACTAAAAATCCACTTCTAACACTAACAAATAGATTACTTTGCATTGGGCTAAAATATGTAAATTACTGCTTGAGTTTTTACCAGAGTTTTGCACAAGCTCGGCCCAAGAATGACTTGTCACCTTTACTACGACTTGCAATTCCATATCTGTGCTAATAGAAGCTTCCCAATTTGCTTCACAACAATAGTTCTTTTGAGCTGGTATTGGATGTTCTTCCTAATTGTTTGGAGAAATTATTTTGTGCGGAGTTCGGATGGAAAAAATTATCCGGATGTGTATTTACGCAATGAGTACATTTTTGTACACAATTTGTATCGAATCAGTGTACACAATATATACACTCTCAATTTAGATGGTTCTTCCCATTCAGACTCCGCATAGAATAATTTCTCCATTGTTTGATGGCATCGTGATTAGTATTTCAAATTGTCCACTGCATTGACAGATTTGACGTCTGCATGATGAATAATTGCATCCAAACCAACTTCATGTTTTTGGGGAAATTTAGGCCGTTATGGATCTTCAAATTAGTTTATGCTAGCAGCATAGAACAGATTTCTTAAAATAAAAATATGAAGTCCAATGCCTTTTTCATGTTCTCCATGAAATGCTATCAATAACAGGTTAGCAATTTGACATTAATTTCAGCAACAAACTATAAATTTTCGCATAAAATGCTACGTTAAGCTCTACTAGTGGGTCAGGGGCACGCTGGAAGCCTCCACTACATCAATCTCTCCACCTATGGCCACAAGTTGGGTTGCAACAAACAAAGAACAATGTCATTCCTTCTTCTCCCCTCGCTGTAGCCTGCAAATCATTAGTGTAAATACCAGATCAGCTTAGTTCATGTGAGCACATATGATGGTGAAATCAACAATAAGAAGTAGGATTGGATTCTAAGTGTTAAGGATGCATGAAATGAATATTTCTTCATTCTTGAGCTAGAAGAATATGGAACTAAATGATCATGACTACAAGGATAAGTTCTCAAGCAAGAATACTTGTCGCAACTAAGTGTTAGAACAAAATTTCTGAAAGCTTAATTGCTGATTCAATGACAAATCCAAATTGTTACAATGATAGTACATTATTGCTGATTCAATGACAATCAACTTCGATATGTTTGACTTTCAGGGAAGACAATTACGACTAATATGGATTGTGGTTTGATTAATATATATCATATGATTCCAATTATGGTCGAGTAGAGCATCCTAAAATGGCTTTGGAACAGACACAGTAGAAAAGGACAAGATAACCAATGAAAGGAAGGTGATAGGTAATTAAAGGACATAGAAGAGTGACGTGGATAGTAACTGCTTTGAAGTTTGCCATTATGAAAAGCAATAGGAAGATGTAGATCTAAGGGGTTAATGGTAATCAGATACTCAAGAGTATTTTAGATGCATACATATAAAACTTCAAAGAGACATTTCAAAAAGTAAATCCGAGTAATCAAAATGTAGTAATCAAGGAAAAAGATGAAATAATATAAACCTAAATGGTTAGGCACCAAACTTGATCCCGAAATATCTGAATGAGACAAGTCAAAAGGTGCACTACTACGAGTAAAGGAAGATAATAGGAAGAAAATATGATATTTCTAAAATTTATAGGCGCCACATTCAAATTTTGGAAATAAGAATCATAAATGAGTGAAGCATCGAAGATGGCTAGGAGGATGACCCAAATGATAGTGTCATTGATATGAGGAAGTTAATGACCAAATGATAGTGCCATTGAGATAATAAATATTGCCAACTCCAAAGCCTCCACCAACTATCTTCTTAAATTGAGATCATGAAATATACTAAGAAGGATAAAAGGTTGACGAGAAATTGTGGGGAAATATAAAGATTATCCAATGTCAAGGAAGAGGAAGCGTGAACATATCCTTTTCCAAAGACTAGAAGGAGAGTCATCAACAACAATAACATATGAAAGATGTTATGCTAAAAGAGGAAAATAATTCTTGGTTATTTGTTATATGGAAAGAAGTACAAAATGTTAAAATCCAAGATATATCAATATGAGCAACTGCAATCTACCCAGAATAAATAATATGAAAGACTGGGTATCAAAAAGTTATGTAGAAGCTGATCATAATCCTCTTGGGAAATGATCATAGAGCCTAAAGAATTAGTATTAGGATTAGTAGTAACTAGGCCAAAGACATGTTGGGCAACAACAGAATAGCCAAACTTCTCCCAACATTGGCCAAATGAGTGATTTATCTGTTGATAATGCTAAGATAATGGAAAATAATTGCAATCACAAGCATGATTACCACTACAGCAACTTCATCCTGGATAATAACAACTACCCCTTATCCACACAACAAGAGTGGTATGATCATGATTAGAAGAAGCAAATAATTTAACAGTTTGAACTCCTAAGAGAGCAATGAAGATGTTTGGGGCGATTGAGCATTGCCGTAGTTGAGCTTTAACAAATTATAATGATGGGTAAAGGTCAAGAAAGGAACTTGGCAATTAAAAACCCCTCATCATATTTATGTCAAGTAATGAGATAGACGAACAAGAGATAATATTGAAAAAGTTGAATAAATTTGTCATCTCGTTGCGTGGTCAATAGTTTAAAGTAGAAAGTATATGCATGCGAGATGTGCAATCTTAAACATAGGTGCAGCAAAAAATGACAATTCTTTTGGAAGTTCATAGAACATGATGGTGACATGATATTTGATCAAGACTATTGAGCATCCATGAGAGAACAACATAGTATAATGATTGTCATTTGGGGCATTTGTTGGTGTATGTCTGTTTTGTAGGAAAACAGTTAGACCATGTAGTCACAAGTTACTAAAACTTTTCTTTAACTTAAATATTTTCTTGGTCAAGGAACCATCCATAAATACATTCTCATAGCTAGTTTAAAATTACAACATATCTTCTATCTTTTTTCATGACCTATAGGATTGTCACACTAAAATTACATGAGCATATAACACATGATTTAGGATAATCAACGTAATAAATATATAGCGTCAAACATCACTATATACTAACCAAATCAAAATGAAACATTAAAGTGATGAAAGCAATGAAAAATATAAGTTGAAAATAAAAAAATGAGGCAAACAATAATGACCTGAAAAAAAACAGCTTCAGGGTGATTGCACACCGCACAATGAACAGACTTAGTACGAGGTAGAGTCGGATCAGCTGCTACATCTTGTAGGACTTGTGTGCGCTCACCAATTGAGTGATGAATCTCATTTCTATACACACAGTTATTATCCGCTTCCTCCTAAAAGATAGAAAAGCATAAATCAAAACATCAACTATGAGAATATTAATAAGATGGTAATATGATTTTTGCATAATATAATTTAGAAAAGTGCTATATTATTCAGTTATATTGGATTTGAAAGGAATGCAATTTTCTGCTCTCAATTTAAGTTTATGTAGCCTATCCTTTAACAAAACAATTTTCCTAAAAAATAACGTTGCCATAGAAAAAGAATACCAAACATAAAAGAACATTGTTTAAGAGAAGAGTTCAAATAAAACTGAAAAAAAAAAAAAGTTTGGTAAAGATTGATGGCTTGCTTTGTTTTCATCAATTTTTGAAAACACAAAATATCATTTGATACTTGGGTTTGCTTAGTGCAAGTTGCCCTTATTGACCTGAATAAGTCAACCATTCCTAGTCTTGATCATTTGCACTTGATTGAATCCACTTCCCCAAGCTTATTCATCTAACTCAGGCTAAAATGATCAAAATAGCTCCTAATTTAAATCCTTGGTATGATTAACCAGATCATAGTCAGCAATCACCAATTCCTTCTGATAAGTTCAATCCTATTCTAGGTTGAGTCCCTAGCTATCTTAGCTAGAATGCTAACCTAGCCTTTAGACTGAGCTAACTAAGATCAACCCTGAATAGACAATAGGATCCAATCAAGTTATTAGCCACTAAAAATTTCTATGACATTTTCAATTATTTATTTCAAATCTACCAATCAATCTAGGTTTGATCAGAATCAGCTTTGGGTTAATTGAGCCACTTAGTGGCTTTAAGCATTCAATCACTTCATCCAATGGTTCGATAATGTTTGAGTTGATCTTAGTTGACTATTGGACCGCATGATATTATCTTTAGTCCTAGGTTTGACCAAAAGACAACCTTGGTCCAAAAACCCCTTGGACCTTATTGATCATTTTGGATAAGTTGATCAAATTGAATAAACAACTCATACATTTCATTTGAATAAAGTAAGTTTTCCATATACTAGTTGAACTCAACTGACCATTGGTTGAGCCAACTGGGCCAAATTGACCCAACTTAGTATAATTGGAAAAGCATTAAACCCGCTTGACCCAATTGAGTTCAATTCTTCAAATTGATAAAAATTGCTTGACCCAACTCCTTTTACTGATCCCAATTGATTAAATATGAACAAATTGATTCTAATTAGCCCTTGGAATGGCTTGAATCAAGCTAGAACCCAAGCAGACTCGATTGGGTCACCCTTGACCCAATTGGATGTATATGTTAACCTAGCCGACATTAGGTAGATCCAACCCTTCTATTGGGTCCTTGGGGCTTAAACCTAACCAACCCAACAGCCAAACCCTAACCAATCGCTTAAACATAACTTAATCCAAACCATAGTCGGAAACACGATGATAGCAATTCCCCAACTCGAAGCCAAAGGACCTATTGCCACATACTCCACAGTGATTAGGAAGATCACCCCACCTAGGCTGTCTAGCAGTCAACCATGGTTTGTAGAAGCCTAACTAAGCTGTTTAAGGTTGAATTAATGAGGGTTTAAGCAAGGTAGTGTTGAATTGCCTTCCCAATCATTGCGATGAGCTTCAAAACACTAGTAATACCCTAGAACCCTCTTTTTTCTTCCTAATACCTTTGATTCAGTAGAGGCACTGGGAAGCTCAAGAACTATTTCGATCCTTAATCCAAGGAGAAACTTAAAGTATTCGAAGTAAATTTGAGCTAAGGGTTGTTCCCTTGAGTTGCGGCGTTTGGATCAACTCTACTCGAATAAAATAGAATCTCAAAACCTAAGTTGGTCTTTGTGGGAGTAGTCTTTAGGAAGATATAGTCCATGGTCTGCTATTATTTTCCTATCATTGAATAGAGCTCAAGCTCTTCAACATTTTCGCATTTTGAATTTCTCAAATTCAAGGTGAAATGAAAGAGTTATAGGCAAGGAGATCTATAGCATCAAAGGTGACATAACTCTTTCATGTTTTACTTTTGGGTGGGCGGGAGGTAGAAGAAGCAAACACAACCACCCATTTGTATAGCATCCAACAACTCAGATAAATTCTACTTATTAAACTAGGATTTTCATTAGAATATTTGCTCAAAGCAATCCACTTATCCAAACTTAATGAAATTTTATGAAAAAATCAATCTTGATATAAGCTTTATGGAAAAATTATTTTCTTCAAAAAATAATTTAGATTTTATTTTTGAAAAAAATAAATCAAATACTCTTATTTAATAGATTAAATACAGAGGATGTCTTCAAAATTCTCAAACTTCTTCGCAATGCTTAGCATGCATATCTAAACATATTGGTGCATTTAATTTAGTTTGATGCTTACTAATATGCATGATATTAATTTTCCAAGGCATTTTCTTAATTAAAATTAGCGGTTTAATTAATCTTATGCAAGCATACATCATATGTCCTTATTTATGTGAAATCATATACATCATGTTAATCATAACAATAAAATTTCTAATTTATTGATTAATTTTGCTATTTTTAATAATTAAAATATTGATATCTCAAGTATTAAAAATAACAAAATACATAAAAATTATGAAATATTTCAGGATTAGTCAACACAATTTTCCTTATTTAATGCATGTGTTGGTTCCTTTTAATCATGTCTGTTGGATGCGCTTCTATTTTTTCAGCCTTTGAAACCTATTTTTAATTATTTAATAAAGTATGAAAATTGTCAAGCTTCATGCATTCACTTTTTAACCTAGATATTATTTTTTAAAAATCATACATGTTTATGTTAATTCATAATAATTTTTTCAAATTTTGTTAAGAGGCTATTTGGTTTACTGAAAAAGGAATGCAAAATATTCCAAATGTATGAGATTTCAAATTTTGGGTGTTTGATTTGATGAAAAAGAAATATGATGTAAACTATAAGTTAATTCTTTTTTTAACCTCTAATTCATTTTTTATGTATTATGAACTCGACCATTTTTGGTCGAATTCCTTTTATAATGTAAGCTAACTACATTTTCATCACTGGATGCCTACTGCTGACCATCGGCTGCTGCCGAAACCATCATTGTTGTTTCCATCGATGCCACCACCAACTTCTGACACAACCACTAGTTGCTGCCATGGCCTATCACCGCCTCCGACCTCCAGCCCGCCTTTGTCACCATTGACATCTATGTTGCCGCCACGGTTGTCGTCGACAGTTGCCACCCACTAGAGCTGTCAAAAACGGGTCATGGGTCGGGTTTGGGTCCGATCCGAAATTGACCCGACACAGTTCAACCCGACCCGAACCCGACCCATTTTGGGTATATTTCATTAAATTATTTTTATTTAATTTAGTTTATTAAAATCTAAATCAAATTAAGGTAAGATTTACTTCAATTAATTTAATTTGGACAACAATGTTTATTATTTTTTGAAATATCATTTACTTATTTTATTAAAATCCTCCTAAATTAATTAAAATCGGGTCAAACCGGGTTGATTTCGGGTTTTCGGGTCAACCCGAACCCGACCCGGTTTTACAAATGGGTCAAAATCCCTAACCCGAACCTGACCCGGTTCAACCTGAACCCGAAATTTTCGGGTCGGGTCAAATATTGACACCTCTACCACCCACCGCAACTCCTGGTGGCTAGCACCTTCGCTGTCTTCACAGCCATTCACCACCATTGTTTAACTTTAAATTGCATTCATTTTATTTCAAGTAAAAAAAATTACTTTCATTAGACATGCATGTCTAATTTATTTTCAATATTTTTTAATCAGACATGTCATCTGATACATGATGGAGGCATGTCCAATACATGTCGGATACTAAATACCTCTTGAGAAAAAATATCGATGCAGCATATGCAATGAAACATAACAAAGAATCCAAATATAGGTCCAATCAATGGAACAAAGAAATACAAAATGCCACTTGCTTATGCATAAAGAAGGTATAGACCTCTTTCATTCATACAATGATATGAGAGGACATTAATTCTCTCTTTCTATTGGTGATCCTTTGAGTCCAATTGAGATCAGGATATCGCTATGAACTCATGGTGACAAGTTGTACGCCTTTTTCTTTTGATATATCTCTTTTGCATGACATCACAAGCGCTTTCCAGCAATGCTAATAGGCATGCACATGCAGTCAAGGTTGTCAATGTGACATCTCAACACTGGCATTAAACTATTATGCAACTTGAAGTCTAAAACACTAATGCTTACATTAGCAATACACAAAAAATACGTGAGCTTTTTAGAAACCCAACCACAACAATGCCTTGGTTCACAAAACCCAAGCATCAATGCCTAAGTTTTTGGAAACTAGGCCCATCATTTCTTGAGTTACAATGATGCTCATAAAACCCATACATTAGTATTAATGGGTGGGAGTATGCATACCCTAGCAAATTGCAATCAAAACAAAGATGCCTAGAGTTCCAACAACTTCGGCATTTAAATTCATGCTTTTGCAATTACCAGGAATCAATGCCAGGATTTTTGGAACCAACATCAATGTTTTGGTTGGAACTAATTCACATCATACCCAGGTATATCAATGCCTAGGTGCTTGGATACAAAACAAGGTGTTAGACCGGTCCCTAGTGGACCGGTCCAATTACAACCGGCCCCTAGGGAACCGGTTCAGGTTTACTATAGGAGGGGCGTCGGCAAAGAGAGAGGGAGAGGAGTGGGGTCCACCAAAACTTTAAATTCAAACTCTTTGGAGGGAAAGGAGGGGGCGACAAGGGCTCCTTAGTCATTTGGCTTGATTAATTAATTGTATTTTTTTATTAATTAATTGTATTCTTTAAATAGGATGAGGGAATTAGGGTTAGGGTTATATTTTGATTATTGAGTTCTATTTGGTTTTTCTTCTTGGAGTTTTGGGTTCTAGATTCATCATCTAGAGATTGGGAGAGATCGATCCTCCTCTCAAATTGAGGATCAATTTTATCTTGTTTTGATTCTTCTTTCCAAATACTTGAGATCTACAAGTATTTCCTATCATAAGGTTGGAACCTAAGTACTTAAGCCTGAGCAACCTTTAATGCCTGAATTGCAAGAAACCAACACATCATGCCAAGTTTAAATTTATCATGTTTACCAAAACAAAAAAGTAAATTGATATAATAGTTCATACAAGCGGGAAACCATAAGGTTTCATCTTGAATTTTTTAAATGTCCTATCTCATCAAAAGGGCAAATTGGAGATTTGTTGCTACAGTTTTATATTTGTATGTATAAGAACAAGTTAAGAATAAGCACGCATAAGAATATCTACAGAAAGGATCGAGTAACAGAAGGTGATCCCCTAAAATTATTTCAAATGTAGGTCATACAGTGGTAAAACAACAAAAGAGAAACACATTTTAAGTTCAAAATGGTCAATCCCGCCAAATAGCCGACAGAGTTCCTTTGCCCTCTCAAATGATTTCAAACTTCAGCACATAATAACCACAGATTGATGGATGGTTAACAGAAGTACTGATTAAAATCCGTTTAAAGCCACAAGTTTGAACATTTATAACAATTAGAACAAATGAAAAACCAAACCCACATCAGAAAATATGATAAAAGGGAGGATCAAGCAAGAGAAAAAAAAAAAAAAGAGAACCTGGTGGTCGCAGTTACGGCAGGCATAGAGGAGGATTTTCTGCTCCTTGCTTTCTTTAGGGTAGAGAATGTTATTACTGAGACGAAAAAGAGATGGTAGGTATTTAAAAAAAAAAAAAAAAAAAGGCAAACAAGTAGTCTTGTTCTTTCATATTTCGATTAAAAAACAAGATATTTCTTACCACTCGCGACAAAACTTCATGGTGCTCATGGCCGCTCGCGTTCTTGGCGTCTCCTGGCCTGCCTTCCTCCAAGTAACTCTTCACTGTATCTGGGCAAATCAACAACCTTCTTTTTAAGTTTATATAGGAGAAAGTGGGAAAAAAGTTACTTCAGTCATAAAGCGGTTTTCTTGCGTTTTGGTTGGATGAGGGAGGTATAGAGTGATTGTATAGTGTTTTTTTTAGAAAGTAAAAAAAAAATAAAGCAACTAAAAAAATAATTATCAAATATAAATTATGTTTGGGGGCTGAAAAGCTTAATAAGAAAATCTGTGGGCTCCGAAAATTCGACCCCGGCCTCCGCTCGCTTTTCTTATTCGGCGAGGGAGTTTTAACGAGCTAAGTTCCGAGGTAAATTTTGGAAGGCAGATGGGTTTGTAGATAAGACACTACCCAGAGATTTCGCCCTCATTTTGTGAGGACTTTATGATCTGAGTTCTGGTTTCTCATTCATTTCGTGTGGAATATGAATTTTTTACTTTCACGCCAAAAAAGTTTTTCACTAAAATCTCTCATAATAATATCATTGTGGTAACCTAAAAAATAATTGGAGGGGTGAATTTTAAAACTAAAAAATGGTAGAAAACTTAATATAAAATTCTATGATTTATTATTGATTATTTTTATTAAAACTTGATAAAATTAATTTAATTTTATGATTCCCATTACAATTATTTTGAACGGGTTAATTTAATAATTACTATTTTAAATATGTTATTAAATTGATAATTTTGATTAATGTTCTTCCAAAATAATAATTCAAATACTCAAAATTTGATCATAGATTCTAGTTGTTGAATTGATTTTATCTCAGGAGAAGTTTTATTATAGGTAGAGTTGGTCAAGTTTGCATCACAAAGATCAAATCTCAAGTAAAGACATAATAATTAAGCTACAAAATGTAAGGCTCAAATGCATAAAGTTCAATTACTTAAAACAAATGGAGCATGTGGACTGAATAAGGGGTTGGATCACCAAGCCCTATTTGTCTGGTTGATCACCACCTCAAAAAATTAATAATGTAAGAATAAAAATCAAGCAAGTTAGCTTCAATCAAAATTGCACAAGCTCATTATCAGCCCTTCTCTTATTAGAACTCAATATGTATTTAATTGAAGAGCAATCCACCTTCCATGTAAGTCTTGTGTGCCTCCTTCTCTTCAAGGTAGGAAATACAATGTGGAATAATGAGAACTCTTTTTCTAAATCAAACATGATTGATTTTGTAAGATTGTATTTGACTATTGATTTAGATCAATTTCCCTCCACTGCATTCATCCTTGTCATGAATCTTTGTAATGCAATGCAATTGGTTCAAATACTTACATATCCATATTTGGGCCACCACTCCCTTCCTTCAGTTGAATTTTTCTCATATAAGAAATGGTCAAGTAAGAGTATTATATTATGAAGTGATAAAATTATATGTTATTGTGTTCAAGTGCTTTGAGGATTAAGTGAATGGTCTTTCTCTTAGAATTGAATTGGTGATCTTTTGCACCCTTATAGCCCTTTCATGATGTCTTAAAACCCTTACAATTATCTTGTAATTTTTTGATGAGGCTATAATATAATAATAAATATATATATATATATATATATATATATATATTCATCTCTTGCATTACATCTTCTCCCATTATAGACTTCAACCAATCCTTTTTCCCAAGTTTAGGATAGCCAATAACATATAGTCTAGTCTCATTGAACACCTTAGAATTCCACATAATCATCAATCTAACAAAATGCACAAATAATTATCAGGAGACCGCCTCTATTAAACCTTTATTTAGCATAAGAGCAATTTATGGAAAATCTTAAAAGTGCATCAAGACTTTAAATGAGGAGCTTTCCTCAAAGAAGTTCAAATTCATTTATTTCAAGTCAAATATCTCTCAACACCTTTATGTAGTTTGTGTTTATAAATTATAACAGAACTCCCTCTGAACTCCTCACTCCTTAGATGCAGATAGAATATCATCCAAAGATGCACAATATATATAAATCATGCAATATAATATATGGTTAAGAAGTTAAACATAAATTGGGCAATTTACAGAATTTTAGAAATTTTCCCTTTGGGTTGCATTTTAACAATCAAATCTAGTGTAATGTAGCTAAATTTCACTGACTCAGAATTCTATCAAAGTACCAGAGATTATGTAGGACTACATTTCAGAGGTTCTATAGTGCTATTTTTTTTGTGCCTAAATATTTTTTATAGTTTTAGAAAAACAGCGATTCAAAAATACTAGGTATAAATTTTACAAAAAAAATATCTAAATGTCCAAAAGTACACGTTCTTTATAATATGCCAGAAGTTACGCGGTCAAAGTGTCCATGTTTAAAATTTATCTCAGTTCAAACACAAAATATTTATATTTTTAATCAGGAAAATTCTAAAACTAACGAATTATTAAAAATTGGAATGGGCAAAATACAACCTACCTTGAGCCCAATGGAGAAGCCAGGATTTTTATCTACAGGGGCGCAAAATTTTGACTTTAAAAATTTCCTCAAGTTTTTCATTTTAGCTTGAAATGGACATTGTGGTTTTAATTATTATTATTATTTTTAATTATAAGAAGATAAAATTTATAATAATGAAAAAAACTTATTGTCATGCTCATCTAAATTAATTTTAGCACAAATTTATTTAAATTATATAGTATCATACTAATCTATTTCAACTACTCTTCTACCGTATATTTTCATATCTAATTTTAATAAAAATATAACTAAAAAATATTTTAGAACAAGCAATCAATATAGAAAAAATTACATCTTATTATTACAAAAGCATATCAAAAATATATAAAAATTTATAATAAGCATATTTTAAGCTACTTGATTTAAATTTAAATATTATAGTTCTCCTCTAATGTGATTTATTGGCTTTAATTGCATAAATCTCCTATAAACTAGAATTTGAGTTTTTAAAATATAAAAAATTTGATGAAATTTTTAATTAAAAAAAAAACTAGTAATGTGAAGATGGATAGAAAAAGTTGTCTCACCTCTCATGAGAGAGAGAGAGAGGGAGAGCTCGAAGCTAGTGGAGGAGGTTGCCATCTATAAAAATAAAATGGCAAAGGGAAAAAGGAGAGAGAGAGAGAGAGAAAGGAGGGAGAGAGAGAGAGGGATGACATCCAAGGAGCTCTGTATCCGCCGACAAACTTTTAGAATTGGGACATTATCTGAAAATGATCCAAAGTGGCTCAAAATAAATTCTCTCTCAAGAAATCCCGGTCTCTCTCTCTCGCTAGACAATAACCAATAGGAGAATGAAATTGCTTGAATATTGGATATGTATATTTTAAATATTAAAATTTCACCTAGTGTCTTGATGTCAAACATGACACTCCCTCAAAGAACCCAATGCGCTGTTGCCCTACCTTAAGTGTTGTTGTGCTAATTATTTTCCAAAATTCCTGAGAGCAATGGCTTCAAAGCTCTGATAACCCCAACACTGTGGCACCGTAGAAATAATTAAGACTTTTCAAACATACAAACAGACTCTTGGGACCCATTTCAGATCAAATGCAAACTATCACATTCACTCAAAACATTGCCATATACATTACAAAAATGTTCAAAAGCATAAATTTAACTTATTACCTTGAATTTGGTCTGGTTAAAATGAGTTGAATGGTCCACTGACTTTACAGTTGTTACACAACATCCCAAGCATAATTCCTTGATTAAAGTTTTTCCATTCCACATTGAGATGAAAATAAACTCTAATAATTGATTGTATAATGATTAAAATTTGTCTTGATTGCTCCACCTTAATTGAAGCTACTCAAGGCATAATTTTTTTCATAAAAGAAATAATATTTCTTTTCATATTTGTATATTAAAATTATAGTTAAATTCCTTTTAAATTTAAATAATAGTTATAAAGGTAATCGAACTTTTTCATAATAATGATAGAGGTATTATAATTTTTTTTAAATAAGAAACTATTCATAAATTGATTCTCACTATTTTTCTTTAATAAATTGAGGATACGAATAATGTGCATAATTTTTTTTTCTCATATTTGCATCATGTGATCAAATTTTTGTATAATGATGACTACACTTACAAGATACCTAAAACTCTTATATAAATACCCAATTTTTACCATATATTTTTATTTTGCATCATAGTTCATCACACTTTAAGGAACTTTACTATTATAGATAAATGCTTATTGCAGGTTGAAGTCACATTGAATATATGATAAAGGAAAAATATAAGTGAAGAAAGTATAGAAAAGGGAGAAACTAAATAAATTGAAAGTAAAATAAGATAACTAGGATTACTACACTTAACATAAAGAAATCAAGTTTTCATCTAAAGAAATATTTTTAAAAGGATTGTCACTCACCAAGAATTAATACTAAATAACTTACCAAGTCCTAAACTTCTTGTACGAGAGATAGGAACTAATAAATAAGAAGATACATGAAAAACCAAGAAAAATTCAAAACATATCACAAGAAAGGTAAACCCACTTTCCATGTAATTTTTTAAATTAAGAGGGTTGACACTCACAAAAAAACCAACACAAGATGACAAGTAAGCCCTTAACTCCTAATAAAATTGATGACAAACAATTAAAAAAAAAAATAAAGTGAAAAGAGTCATGAGGGAAATTTGAAAATATAACTGATAATATAATAATAATAATAATAACAATAAAAGGGAGAAGCAGCCAAACTTTATTAACTGTAATAGGCATCTAGATTTTTATCTCTTATATCAAATGATGATGATGGAAGAAGGTTAACCTTCTTAGACTCCAAATCATGGATGAGGAATATTGGAGACAAAAAACTACTTCTAAACATATTGATGAAGGCGGCAAAAATATCAGATACTTTCATGCTTTGGTGAATTCAAAGAGAGCCAAAGCTTCCATTAATAGGATCAAGCTCAATTCTGGTGAGTGGTGGGGTGACTTTGCTCGCATTATTGACTATGTTATTACTTATTTTAAGAACTCTCTTAGTATTTCTAAACATGTTATTCCTATCTCTAAACGTAATATTATTCATACTTTAATTACTAATGTAGATAATCTCTCTTTATCTAAGCATCCTGTTGAAGAGGATATTTATAAAGTTTTAATGTCATTGAATAAGGACTATGTGGCATGCGCTGGACGTCCTGATGACTTTACTATTGTTTTCTTTCAAAAGTGTTGGAGTTTTATTAAGATTGATATCTATAATGTTGTTTAGAATGTTTTTTATGTTTTTCCTATTTCCAAATGCTTTACTTCTACATCTATTGTCTTAATTCATAAAAAGGTTAATCCTGGTTGTTGGAGTGACTTTAGACTTATAAGCGTGTGCTCTACCTTCAATAAGCTTATTTCAAAACTTTTGGCTAATAGATTAGCTCCTTTACTCCCTAAAATCATATCGGTTAATTAGTCTAGATTTGTTAAAGGTAGAAACATAGCTGATAACGTGTTACTTGCTTAGGAACTTCTCAATCAGATTAATCATAAAGTTCATGGGCATAATTTGATTCTGAAACTGGACATCTTAAAAACTTATGATAACCTGAATTGGTTATCTTTTTAGCAACATCCATCTTTTTAGTTTTGATGTTAAAGCTATTATTCCTATCAAAAGCATTGCTAAAAATTGTTGGTTTTCTATCATCATTAATGGTAAATCTTATGATTTTTTTAAAGGTGCTCAAGATTTCAGACAAGGAGATCATTTATCTCCTGCTCTTTATATAATTGTTGCTGATTATCTTTCTAAGGGTTTGTCTCATTTTTTTCATGAATACTTATTGCTCTCTTATGAACTTTAGTGGCATCAATATTACTTAATTATCTCTGCTTTGTCGATGAGATTATTATTTTTTGCAATAGTTTATTAAGGTGTGTTAAGAATTTTAGAAAACTCCTCTCCAAGTTTGAGAAAGAAAGTGGTATGCAATTTAATAACAGTAAATGCTCTTTTATTAGTAGTAAAGGTATGTATGTCTTTGACGCAGAGTAACATTATTGCTACCTATATTGGGTTTAGCAAACAAGTTTTGCCTTTTTACTATCTTGGAACTCCTTTATTTAAAGGTCATAAACACTCTTTTTTGTTTGATAATATTTTTGCTTCTATATCGGCCAAAATTTATTGTTGGGAATTTAAGTTGCTTTCTATGGGGGCTAGACTTTTGCTTATTAAAAGTGTTTTGTCCTCAATGCCCATCTACTTAATCCAAACCATCAATCTTCCTACTAGCATTTGTAATATATTAGAGAAAATTTTTAACAAATTTTGTGGGGCTCTACTGATGTTTCCAAAAAGATTAATTAGTCAACTTGGAGTGCGTGTATAGGCCCTTATTTAGAGGGAAGTTTTGGCTGTAAGTCGTTTCATGATTTAATTAAAAGTTTTTCTTTCATACTTTAATAGAATTTTAGGAAGAATGATTCTTTGTCGGCCAATTACATGCATTTTAAATATTGCAACACTATTCATCCTATTATTTTTTCTTCAGGATGAATGGTTTGTTGAGTCCACTATTCATGGTATTGAGCCTTTTATTGTTTTAACCTACTATGATATTCTAATATACCTCACTTCATACTTATAAACATTAAAACAATATTATTATGTAATTTTATAATGAGGAAATAAACTAAATTCTTTATGATTTGATAGCTTAGTTGATTTATTTCCTTGATTATAATAAATCCAAAACTTTCTTTTTTTGCATTTTAATCCTAATGGGAGGTGGAGAGATAGAGAATTCATTGCTTAAAAATTCATCCATCACTCATTAGAATGAAAATAAGTTCCAAGAATTATTTTTATGATGATAAAAATCTTCTCTGTTTGCTCCAATCATTAAATTGAAATTGTTCATGGCATTATTTTTTTTCATAAAAGAAATAATATTTCTTTCCATAATTTTTAATAAAATTAAAACTATTTTCAAATATAAGTGATATTATAATGGCAATCAACTTAAATGAATTTTAAAGAGTTAAAATTTCTCTCTCTACATGGATAATCGCCCTTAAGCTTGTGCTTAATTTTTTTGGTACTTCCTGCTTTGCACGCCCATTGGATTCTCCGTTCCGTGCCCAAAGACTACCGACGGAAACGGGGAAGACGATGAAATCAAGAAAAATAAACAGGTTGTGCATGATCTGCAGCAGTACTTCTTACAGGCGGGACAATGGAAAGTAGATGAACTCAGTAATCCTCAAAATTCGTGCAAATATGGGATCATTAGTCATGATTTCAATGGAAACTGTGATTCCCCCAATACAGATTCAAAGGCTTACCATCCACGAATTTTACAGCTTTCTGTGTTTCAGCACGCAGTGAATGAATCCTTTAGATCATTTTCAATCGAACGGTATATTATTGTATGCCGTCCGCAAATCACTATATTCGAACTTCAAATTTCACGTTAAAAATGGATAGGTGAAAAGTGTGACGTCAATATTGACGTCAAAAAAAAAAATGATTACATGCCCACTCTGCTTAGCTTCGTAGGAACCGCGCGAAATAGGAGAGAGATGATTACCTTTGCAAAGAAACGCGTAAAAGGAAAAATGGAGTTTCATTGGAGATGAACTATAGCATTTTGAACTTTTACGTCATTTTAGAGTGAAAAATTGAGTTTTCGGAACCGAACTCCAAACACTTGAATGGTGTAACTCGTGAGCTCCAGTCTTTGGTTACGGGTGAACAGTGGGACACCAACGTTGCACTGTTCATCTCCATTATTTTTTTTGTCTTTATTGAACTTGCTGAAGAAACGCGCAAAAGGGAGCAAAATGAAATTCTGTTGGAGATGAATCACGACATTTTTTAGTTTCACGACATTTAAGAGTGAAAAAAAATGTGATTTTTCGTTGGAGACGCCCTTAGTTATTTTAGAACATCCTCAATAAAAAGTAATCAGAAATAAAAAAATAATTAATATTTTAAAATTTTTGTAATCCACCTTCAATTCTTTATCAAAACAACCGATACAGTAAGAAAAATATTTGTAAATAGTATTTTTAATTGATTTGAAATCATGAAGAACCCTAAAAAAATATTTAAATTGTCTTTAATCTTTATTGTTTTTTATCAGAATATCTCAACCGGTTTTTATTTTTTTTTTTATTCTGTGCTTACGTGATCATTGGATCCACTGTAGCATTCGTTCCAGAAGCTTCCTTGCAGCAGCAAGGAGAGGCCCTATCAGCTCCACATGCTCTGAAAAGGCAACGAGCAAGTTAATGGTGAGTTCTCATGGGGTGAGCGGAACCTCCATAACTGAGACTTATATATAGCTATCATTTAGTTAATTTCTTCTCAGCTACCCAACCTAGCTCGAAGCTGCAGTTACATTCTGCCATACTTGTTTTTATCTTCTTCCAGTCATGGCGACACTGACGAAGCTCTCAGTAATCGCCATTGTCATTTCAATGTCATTGTTTCTCCTCGCTACTGCAGATGTCTACTTCGAGGAGAGATTCGATGGTGACAAATATAAATTCTTATATCTCCCATGCTTTTTTTCCTTCTTTTTTCATTTTTATGTGCTAGGATGCCTAAAAATTTCCTCAAAATAAATATTTATAGTTATTGAATGAATGATATATGATATGCATATTTATAATCATCTCGGAGATGCATTTTGGACTTTTTTTTTTCTTTTTCATCTTAAAATCTTTTGGACTCTTAATAGTACACAATAGAGAAAAAAAATTCATGTAGTCAACTTCAAAGTAGGATAAAAGATTGATGTTATTGTTGTTGTCGGAGACTTCTATTGACTGTGTTGGGAAGCAAAACAAATGACATGCTAATCAAACGTAAATTCATAGTTGAAACTTTGTTTGATACTATTTTTTTACTGCTTTTTAAAGCAAATTTTTAGTAAAAAATTAAAAATTTTATTATACTAAAAAATTGTTTTAAGAAACAATAAAAAAGCTGTCTCAAACAAAGCTGAAGTTTCAATCTTATAATTAGCTAGCTGCAGCATTTAAAGACACACATGTTGCTAGAAATATGGAATTCATGTAAAATTTCATGAATAATAACAATTGTATGTTTGGAATGATGTCAGGCGAATAAAGTAAATAACTTTGCATTGCAATTCAGTTTCTTCAAAAATATGTTGCCAACTAGATGAAATCAAATTATCTATAATATTTCCTTGAAAAAGAAAATTATTTTGCATAATATATGGATTCTTATCGCGATGAACCAACCAAGTTGTTCTTTACAAAGTTTTGATCTTGAATATGACAAAGATGAAAATGATATTCTTCGCAGTTTTTAACAATCAATCTGCCAACACCCAACCGAATAAACAACAATGAATTTTGTTTTGTTTTTTTTTTTTTAATCCTAAAAACTAGCTGTATTATTGGATTTCAATTGAATTTTGATCATAACAGGCATAAAATTTGATTAAAGTAATTCATTCCCAGTTCCTATTACTAACTATTGTTATTAAATAACATTTTGGTTATGAAACCGAATAAAGATGGATGGGAGGATCGTTGGATAAAATCTGATTGGAAAAAGAGTGAAAACATGTCAGGGGAATGGAACCACACTGCTGGTAAATGGAGTGGAGATCCTCTTGACAAAGGTTTGCAAGCCAAGCTATCATACATTAATGACTGAATCTACTACTGTTGTTCTAATACTTCTTCATATACCACTTCAGGTATCCAAACTACTCAAGACCTGAAGTACTATGCCATTTCAGCTGAGTTTCCAGAGTTCAACAACAAGGATAAGACGCTAGTTTTCCAATTCTCAGTTAAACATGAACAGAAACTAAACTGTGGGGGTGGTTACATGAAGCTCATTAATGGCACAATTAACCAACAAGTATTTGATAGTGATACCCCTTACAGGTTACAGATATCTATATCTACACTATCTATTTTCCTTCTCATGTTTTCAATTACATAAAAACCATATGAGCTTTTGCAGTATAATGTTTGGGCCAGACATCTGTGGAGAAAACAACAAAAAAGTTCATGTTATTCTCTCACGCAATGGAAAGAATAATCAGATAAAGAAGGAGATATCATATACGATTGACCAACTCACTCATCTGTACACCTTGATAATTAGATCTGATGCTACATATAACATCCTTATTGATAATGAGTTGAAGCAATCTGGGAGTCTTTACAGTGATTGGGATATACTTCCTCCAAGGCAAATTAGGGATCCTGATGCCAAAAAGGTGCATTGTATATGTTGATAAATGGGCCTTGAAACTTATTTTGAGAGGCCATTAATGTTTTTCTTTAAAATTATAAAATCATTTGTTGTTGGTGATGCAGCCAGAAGACTGGGAAGATAGAGAGTTTATAGCTGATGAGAACGATAGCAAACCAGAGGTTTTTTGTCCATACAGACATTGTTATTTCATTTTAGATCATAAATTGAACATATTCTTCAATAAATGGCATGTAATTTATTTATGTAGGGATATGATAACATTCCATCCGAGATTCCTGACCAGAATGCTAGAAAGGTAGATATGAAACTAATTTTCTCTTGAACTTTCTACCCAATTGTAATGAAAATCTGTTTAAAAAAACTTTCTTTTGCAGCCAGAAGATTGGAACACTGAAGAGAAGGGAGAGTGGAAAGCACCCATGATCCCAAACCCTGAATATAAAGGACCATGGAAACAAAAGGTTTCAAACACAGCTGCATTTTTCATAAGTTAAATGCTTAAAATATAGTGTTAGGCAATAATCTCATCAATTCCAAATTCTTTACTATCAGAAAATAAGGAATCCGAACTACAAAGGAAAATGGAAGGCACCGATGATTGATAATCCAGGTTTGTTAGTAGAAACACAACTAAATTTTAGCTGAAATCTATGATGGAGACTAATTTGATATTATTATACAGAATTTGTAGATGATCCAGATATCTATGTTTATCCTAACCTGAGATATGTGGGAATTGAGTTGTGGCAAGTAAGTAAAATCTGAATCTAATGATTTTGAAGTATTTTTTAAAGTTTTTAACTCTAATGTACTTACATAACAGGTAAGAGCAGGCACACTATTTGATAACATTTTGATTTGTGATGATCCTGAGTATGCAAAAAAGGTTGCAGAAGAAACATGGGGCGAGATCAAATATGTATATATATAGCTTCCCATTTTGGAGCTCATGCTTATCTTTTGTTAGCACTTAACATCTCAAACTCTGATATATTCACTCATAATGTTCGATCTTTCGCAGGCTGAGAAAGCTGAATTTGAGAAGGCAGAAAAACTAAAGAAAGAAGAGGTGAAAACCTATTAAATTCATTCATTTCTACATTTTTTTTTTTCATTTTTTTCTCTTTTTCTTTTTCATTTCTTGATAGAAATATTATCATTTTCATAAAATTTTCTAATGTATCCGTAGTGTGCACAAAGAATTATATTTATTTCAAAATTATATATGTCATTGATCTTTTAACTAGCGTTTTGCCATAGTGATCATATAATAGTTTACATTCCTAAATTTTTTTTTATTTCCTTCACAGGAAAACAAACTAGGAACTCCATTGGTAAGTTTTCAAGATTAAATATAATTTCATCTGCTCGGGAAGCTATTTAAAAGAAATTGATTATGAAAATGTGAAACCTTGGTTGATAGAATGATGACGATGATGAAGAACTAGATTACGAGGAACCTGACTGGGAAGCAAAATTAAAAGAAGATGACGAAGGAAAACATGTACTAAAACATTTCCTTCTAAATGAATAATATTAGATTAGTTCAAGTTACCAAATTTCTGTTCTTTTACTTGTCTTTCTAATTCTACTCGGTTGTTTTCCTCTATCATTTCAGGATGAGCTTTGAAGTGGCACTAAGGAACAAATAAAGAGTGAAAGTGGAGTTATATAGCATGTTTCTGCTCTTTCCCACTTTTTTTGCACTTTTGAGATATTATAATTTAAAGAATGTGAACATTTTACTGAAGAAGCAATTGAATAAGTGTTCTTTTATCCATTGCCTGAACACTAAAAGAAAGGTTGCCAAATACTACAGTTGCAAGTGATGAGCCTGTAGTATGATTGAATGCAAATTGACAAATCCAGTTTTTGACTATTAATTGAATAAGCAGTTCATTAATAGAATTTTCTTCCACTGTTCAGTTGGTTTTATGGTTTGAAGTCATAATAGGAATCTTATACCAGCAAAATGTGATGGATAACATTGGCCTGGCTGTTAATTAAATCTGAAAGTTCTAAATTCGCTCGAATTTTATTTGAATCAAAATTAAAATTGAAATGCTTAGTTTGATTTAACTTAAAATGAGACTATATAGATATATGATAATTTTTTTTTCCTTAAAGAAGGAAGCTCTGATATAATTTTTAATGCAAAATCATTTAATGACTGCAACGAAGCCCTCGCCTGTTGACTATCTTTCCGGCTGGGTGGGTTTCAAAGGGCAAGTGCTATCCCTACCTCCCTTCGTGGGAGGGGACGCTGGGAGGCTTGCCAAAATTTTCAGTGAACAACAGGGAACTTGGACAAAAAATTGGAAATTAATTTAAACATAATTTAAACATAAAATCAATTTTAAATCAAATTTGATCAAATAATGTTGGATTTGGACTCAAACTCAAACTTGAACCAGACTTACAATCAACAGGACTATAAGAACTTAAACTTTAATGAGCCACTTGGAATTGAATCGAAACTAAAATATAAGGAATCAAAATTTAAATTAATAAACGTACAATCAAGTTGCAAACCTTCCTAAGATCATCATTTGAGGATATGTTAACTTGAATTTTGATTTCTACTGCTCTTGATTTTGGAGACAACCTAAAGCAAAGGGATTAGGCACAATTCCTGCTAGATATAGAAGCTAGCACTCATGAATAATATATATATATATATATATGGGGAATATTTTGGACCCTAGGGCTGATGTTGTAGATGCATCGGATGATAGTGGGGTTATTGGAACATATGATGATTTTTTTTGTATAAATGAGGACTGCCAATTGGTAGAAATTTGGGAAATCTAAGCTCATTCAGTATGATAGTTACAAGCTAATTAAAGGCATCAACAATTCCTAGGCTTGAATTCAAATGATAAAGTAGTTGTAATGTTTTGAGATCTGTTGACTTCCCATAGTTTGTTTGATGAAATTCAAGCTCACTAATCAACTTATGCATCTCATAGACTGCTTAAAATAGCTAGCATTATCCCTAGCAAAATGCAGTTAGAAGAAACATCCACAAGTTCCGTGGTCATTACAATATCAAAGAATTGATCATAAGGAAGAAACATTGCTTTGTTTTACTTTGCTAAATACAAACAATAGTTTTAAAAAGATCTATTCAAAAGGTTATGTCAAATGCCACCGGATCCGCAATCCCACTCGTACAAGCGGACAAAAGGCTATGTCCTTACAATAATACTGAAAATATATTTGAAAATACACCCTTCATGTGCTCCGATAAACCTGTTACAATTACAAAACACAAATATATGAGAATATTGTGCAGGGTCAAATGCACATACTATGTTTAAACTAAATATATCCCTGCATGTGCTTCGGTCAACATGTTAAAAGTACAAACACCAATCTCTGAGAATGCTATGCAGGGTCAAATGCTACAACCCGCATGTGCTTCGATTGTCACATATGATTTCCTAAATCTAACAGCTTGAAAATGTTATGCGGGTTAAATATTCAAGTTTCATCCTACTCCTCGAAAGGACTAGAGTTGACCTAGCTTGAATCATAAAATACCTCCCAAATTCTTGTAAAAATATAGTGACTTTAATGTCACCCCGATGATGGCTGCGTTGATAGAAAATCTCAACTGAAAATCTCAAATCTCACAAAATCTTAAATTCCTGAAATAAAATACATCTCCTAAAAACTTAAAACTTAAACATATCCACCTCCCACAACCGTTTGTCGGGGGTGATAAATTTGAAATTAGCTTTAGCTCACAAAAAACAAATGTGTGTCGGGTGTATCACTAAGATTCATCCTCAAATAGTCTCTTTCCAGCAGTCACGTGGCACGTGCCATTTGATCGGGTGGTTTTGCCGCAAAATGCTGTCATTATACTACGATGACAACCAAAGCCCACATGTTTCCTAACGGTTTCAAACCCTTGAGCGATGAATCGTAGAGTATATTTGATAGGCATGAAAGCCCTCTTTCAGCTAAGGTGGATTCTGATCTATCCCCTTGGACAAACACCAACCCAGGTCTACAAGGTATTTTTGGATGAAGCAACCCATTGCTACCAATAAGGTACCTTTTGTCAGGTTGGGTCGACTATTTCCTCTGACTAAATAGACCAGAGACTACGATAGCCTGGGACGATAGAATCATGAGATCTTGATGGGGCTCATCTTTATTCCCCCTATCACCAATTTTAAGTTCATGGTTATAAATTTTAAATCATAAAATCAAATTCAAACCCTAAAATTGTTGCTATTATATGTTGGATTTACAGCATATGTAACCTCTTTAACGACTAGCCTTAATCGAAAGTTCTTTCTCATTATTGGGAGGGGTAACTAACTATAGGGGCTTGCGCCTATAGGAAACCAGAACTCAAATCAAAAAGTCCTCACAAAATGAGGAAAAAATCTCTGGGCAGTGTCTTATTTAAAACCCAATATGCCTTCTAAAAATTCATCCGGAACCTAAGCTCGTTAAAACTCCACCAAAAAACCAACAGGGAGGCCGGCACATTAAGGAATTTTTGGAGCCCACAAGAAAAAAGTTCAAAAGAAATCTGACAACTGAAATGATATTTCACGTGAAGCACAAGAATATCGAGGAAATGGATAATTTGAAAAGAAAATCCTAAACTGTTGAGTGGAATAGTGGGAATTGCGACTTAAAAACACGAGGAATTAAAATTAAAGGTTGAAAATATAAATATATAATTAAATAATATCATAAAATAAAAATAATTATAATTAAATTATACATAATAATATAATATCAATTAATAGATATTTATGGCATATTTTCATTAATATATCTTATAATTGTTGCGTCCTAAAATATTCAGTGTTAGGGACATATAGAGTTTAGCATTCTATCTTTATACAAAGATTTAAAACATACACACATGAGAGAGAGGGGTGCAAGAGTCATAAAAGAAATCAAGATTTTGCATGGAAAACCTTGAAAAAGGGAAAAATTGTGGGCCTGGCCTAGGTTAAATGATTCTAATAGTGTTTGTTGTTAATTACAAATGATTCCCTTCCTCGGGGGAAGGTGTTGGCTCAATGTTGTAAATATATATCATATAGAGCACTTTACATGATTGGGGTGGGAAAAAATAATATTTGTACAGTACGATTAGTTCAATTTTCTTAAGTTTGTACATGACGATCACTAAGACAATTGAAAATCATCTCAGCCTATCGTATGATATGATCTACATCATATAGTACAATATGACATATTAATTAAACTTTGATTTGATTGACTAATCACGAGAATTAATTTAAATAAGTTTTTAAATATCTTACTATACAAAGGTGTTCGTACATTATGAACAATACAAACACAAAAATAAAAAATATTTACTAAAATTTGATCGGTGGCTAGGGTTTTTATTTTAAACAGATTATTCAGTACCATATGGATCGTACTATATGATTATGTTAAAAATATTAATTATAGAATTAGTTGTGATTAATGATTTTATAAATAACTGATCGTACTGTACGATCTAGATCATATAGTACAATTAGTTCAAAAATTTAAACATTCATTTTCTCAATCCCTAGTGTGTGTGCACCGTCGCTAAAACAACATACACCCTTGTATGGCTTAGGCTCAAGAAATATAAAATTAAATAAATCAAAAGTACATACTTTTTCGACACATCCTATTCTAACTAATCTTGAATCAAGAATAATCTTGAACGGTGTATGATGTATCTGAAATGTTAGTATACACATAAATAAATATAAAATACAAATGCTACAAGAAATAAAAATTCAATCAATAACATTTGTTATCATCAAAATCACAAGCTCGAGATCCCATATTGCAACAACTAGATCTATTACTACTAAAATCACACTCCATGTATTCAATCTTTTTTTTTCCATGTATTCAATCTTAAGATCTACTCAAATGAAAATCTTTAAATTCTAATGTTGACCTCCATAATTTAAGTATACCTTTAACTCCCTCTCCAATCTTATCAACAAAAAGAATGTCATCAGTACAAAGCATACACCATAGTACATTTACTTGACTAAAAAGAAAAAGATAAGGGCTTAAAGCCAATCCTTGATGAGATTCAACTGAAATAGAAAATTACTCGGTCCAACCACCTTGTGTTTGAACACAAAAGTTCCTACATATACATCCTTAATGACTTTAGTTCAAGATGAGCGTAAATAAAATAAAATAAAATAAATAATTCTTCAATAAAAATATAAGCAAATTTTAGTAATACCTAACCCTTGCACTTATGAAATAATAGAATTAAATTACAGTCATATATATTAAGATCATCTAATCAAATGATAACTCTTAACATTTATTTTTGTCATCTTTTTTTCAACTTCCAACCAAGAAAAAAATATCTTCCCTCAACATTATAATAATGCTAAGGATATTCTGCCCTACAAAACTGCACCATTATTATGGCCGCCTGACACCCTGCTCCGTTAGTAGAAAACTTTGGCTCCTGTAGGCCGTTGGGGCATGGGGTTCGAATGCAGGCATGTGCATATGTTGAATTGTTCAATGCTAAGCAATCAATTCATGATAATAAGAAATAAACCTACCACGATGGACCAGTTCAAAAGATGCGTCTCAGATCTGGGTTCAATATGTAGATAAATGGGATTATAACACCCATTAGAAGGATTGAAGCCTAACTAAACCAACTTGAAAAGAATTTCAAGACTTCATGTTGAATGAAATCTCATTTCATGCCGATCTTTTATGTGGAGTACTGACTCACATTTTAGGGCACAAACTGTAAAACTGAAAAAAGTACTTACTAAAACAATTTAAATGTAACTTCTACACGTAACAATACAAAACAAGGTTCCTAATAACATGGAACCTAATAAAAATTGGCATCAGAATTTGTCCAAATGATCAATTTGTGAAACTGTCAGCATCATAACACAATGCAGCATAACATAAAATCATCTAATGGAGTTGATACCCAATTATCGCCCACAGCATTTCTAAAACTATTCTTTCATAGCCTCACGCAGGAAGCATAGCTGCATTTTTCCTTTCTCAATCAAACAAGATTTTATCAATCCAAATTGTCTTCTAAATTTTCTAAATGAAGAAAATGGTCTATCTTGTTATCTACATACAAATTCAAACATCTAGATAAGTTATAAATTGTTAGATATAACTAGCCAAAACAATGAAGGCAGCACATGACCTGAAACTAGTGCCTCATGGAAATATTTACAGAATCCATCGAAGTTAACTTGTGTTGTAATGTGAGAGGAAGAACCGGAAGTCTGGATGATCCACCTTACGAAGCTGAAGCCAGTTCTCAGCATCTTGCAATAATGAACTTGCACGCTGCTGCTCATAAAGACTTCTATTAGTCCAAATTGAACCTTTGAGCTTGTATGAGGCTAGACCCAATACAGGCAGTGATAACTTAGCTGATATCTGGGTAAAGTCATTAGCTTCCCTGACTCTACAACTATCATTCAGTTCAGAATGTCCATTGCATGAATCTGCAATAATGGAAATGCAATTAACTCAGAATCTTTAGCTTAATCAATGCAGAATTAACTGAAGAAAGAATGCGCACTTTTAAGCGGGGTTGATAAAGTATGGAAACTCAAGAAGCAGGCATCCAAATCTCGTAATGTTGGTCCAGTGGGTATCCTGTAAATTGGATACCTACACAGTGTTTCAGTAAACGTGAAACATTAAATATCGACCATTCAACGTGGATTAATATATGAGCACCAAAAATCCAAGAATATTTTACAAGTAAAAAAGCTGCCAAATTAAGGTTTTGTTTGGGACGGCTTTCTTCCTACTTCTTAAAATGATTTTTTAGTAGAAAAATTAAAATTTTTGTACTTGAAAACTGCTTTAAGAAGCAGTAGAAAAGCCGTCACAAACGAAGCCTAAATGAGAAGAGAAAACAAACTTAAACTTCAACAGGTAGATGTTCAATCAAAAGATTTCAACATCATGCAAGTAAGAATTACCAAGCAACAGAGAACCAACTGGTGGGAAGCAAATCGTAGCTCCTGTATGTCTTTAGCTGAGGAAACTTGTTAGCAAGTAGTGAAATCTGCAATAGTTAATTATAAGAAAGGTCGCATCAGATTGAAGGAATACTTGTACCTAATTGAAGCCTACCTAATTGAAGCCAACCTAAAGCGTACTTACCTTGTCTGCCAAGGGTTCTCTTCCATATGGAGGATTATGCTCCAGATACTCAAAAACTGGTAGCATTGTCTGCTGGCAAACTCCATTTTCTTCACCAACAAGACCACTCTGATCTTTATGGCTTGTAGTTGTTGAAGAATCCCTTCTCTTTCTAACAGCTCGTTCAGCTTCACTCTCACTGCTGACATCACTGCTGGTACCCTGATACATTCGAGCATCGCTTTCCTCACCAGGTTGCCTAAAAGACAAGTAAATTAATTCAACTTACATGGCATTAGCATAGGAATACTATTTATAAGATTTCTGATAAACTTTTTTTACAGGCCTTCTCATAGAAACCATACAATGCCACACGCAAATATGACCTATTGTTCAAATGAATAATAGCGCCAATGAAGATAAATCATACAAGAAAAAATAAAAGCATAGCACTTTATAGCATGGGAATGAGCCGTATATTTTCCCAGACTCATCTTAAATAACTAAATAAGGTTGTATATATTTTATAGCCTACTTAAGAGTTTCTAACTCAACATCTGTCATAATAACTAGAAGGAATAATAGAATAATATAGTAATTTGTAAAGCTAAAGTTTTTGGATGCCAAAAAGAGCAAAAAAAGGGAAGCCCGCAGCATATGGTGGTAAGGAAATAGTACATATGACCATAGTTACGATGGGCCACAATAATGTGATTGAGCAGCAAATGCTTCGGTGAAAAATATTCTTACACAACACCACAATCTATAGATTGCATACACTTAGGAGCTGTTTGGTTGGCGCTCTAGAGCTCTTAAGCGCCAAACAATGAACTTTTTATCTCTAATTATTTCGTGGCTTAAGCGTCTCCTTTATCCCAAGTGCTCCTAAGCTTGACATAAGCTAAGCTTCCAAAAACACTAGCTTAAAAGCTTGGCTTAACCATGATAAATATGAAATAACTAAGAATTATATAATTAATGTGAAAGTTATAACTTATTTTAAGAATAAAGATTGCCTTCCTATATTATTATAATAATTAAGCATGGGACGATTAATTAATCATTTAATTACTCATAATTAAAAATTCCCTATAATTAATAAAATTTTTAAATAAACAATTATGAGACCTAAACATGTATAATTAAATAATCACTCAAAAAAAATTATTTTTAATAAGTTTTTAATTGAAATAACTATAATGCTTAAGCATGGGATAATTAATTATTTTACACGTTAAAAATTAACTATGGCTAATAAAGTTTTTAATAAAGATCAGTTTAGTATGTTTAAAGGAGTTTATTATAATTTTAATAAAGTAAGGTGTAAATTATACTTATTAATGATAATTCATGCCTTATAAATTAGGACACTATTTATGTAGCAAATGAGCTTAGATTACCGTACAACCAAACGGTTTTCTATAGTTACCTTGGCTCATAGCAACATTAACTTTTATCAACCTAAGAACCTAAACCTATTTACAGAATTCATAAAACTTAGCTTAACTTGAGCCCCAATAAAAAAATGCATTGCAAGCATTACGGATGCTTAGAACATGGATATGGTTAAAGAAAAAGTCTCAATTCGTCACTCTGAAGCTTGCATAGAGTTTCAAGCCAAAAGTTTGCAGTTAATAAGGGAAATTTGTAATTCTAGAGAACAAAGAGGCTCAATATGAGAGGGAAGTGCGGGATTATGACTATAATCACCTGTAATAATGCCACTTGATGTTAAGGAAGTGCTTAGCATTCGAGTTTTTCTAGTGGTATGATTATTCAGAATTCATATAAACTTGTTCTCTCTCTCTCTCTCTCTCTCTCTCTCTCTCTCTCTCTCTCTCTCTCTCCCCCCCCCCTCCCCGTGACAAGCAAACACTCACATGGAGAAAAGCACAGTAAAAGCTTTTCAAGCAAGCAATAAAATCATTAGATGAATTTTTTAAAAGAAAATAAGAATATTATGCAAAGGAAAAATACAACCATAAGCCTTAACCAAAAGGCTTTTTAACTATTCGATGATTTAAATTTTGGGGCTGGCTCGTTAAAGTGCACTGTCCAAAGTCTTTATATTTGCATAACTAATAATGTACATGGCCTAGAGATCCGCTGTTCTGGATTAGATTACAGGATTTGCTAAGCAATCAAGGACAAGTTTGATCTTAAAAGGGCATTGTCTAAACATAGAATATAACTAACTCAGTCTATGAAAATTTCTATCACTTATAATAAGAAGAGAAAGGTTGTGTTGACAACTAAGTCGAGCATGAATTGATTCATGCAGAGCGCAGAAAGAAAATTGATCAAATTAGATAGGCATATGTAAAGAAGCACAGAACTCATTTAATAGGTCATGAACTGTTTTTCTATCCTTCATGTACTGTCAAATTATTGAAACTCACAAGATCATTCAACAAAAGAGAAAAGATGCATGCTACTTAAAAAAATTTCATTACTAATTTCTAGACAATAATTATAAAAGGAAATACAGTATTGACAGTAGTCAAAAGAGAGAAACATCAGTAGAAGTTATTTAAGCTATCAATATAGATGGCTTATGTGTGAGATCTCACATCAAAATATGCCAATTGGAGTCAAAACGAACCATAAATTTCCAGAATCCATGGTATCATGTGTATTTGCATGCATGCATATGCGAAGGATGTACATCTAAGTGCCTACAAGCATGCAAGTACATGAACACGTGCACCCCTGTGTGACAATGAAATGCTAAGTCCCTAAAATTGCAGCTTCGACCATACATAAAATGAATGGGTTTAACTTCGAGTTTCATATATGTTTTCTAGCTTCAGTCTTATAAGCTTGAAAGTAAAAGCTTAACCAAATCCATGCGGCTACTCATACCAGTGAAATAATAAATTAAAAGCACATCCCATTCCTTATTAATCCTGAAAATACTCTCTAAAATGAAATCTACTATAACAAGTTGACAACATGTAACTGCAAGAAAATATGTAAAATATATAAAAGTTAGCATTAAAAAAAAAGGAAAAAGAAAGAAAAAAAAAAGAAGAGAAAATGACTAAATGGTCTCTCAACTATTTGTGAGGGACCAAAATAACCCACAACTCTTTTGAGGGACTAATTTGGTCTGTCAACTCCTTAAAAATTGGTCTTTTTTATTGTAACATCAAAATTTTGGGTTAATGGTGTTAAATCATGGGTTATTTTAGTTATTTTTAATTAAATTATTTATTAAATATAATTTTCAAATAATAGTATATTTTTTAAAATTTAATAAACATTTCTTTAATAGAAAATATTAATAATCCTAATCTATAATGGGGACCACATTAATCCCTGAAAAGAGTTGGGGACCATTTTGGTCCCTCACAAAGAGTCGAGGAATCTTTTTGGTCATTTTCTCAAAAACAAATCTATAGAAAGCTAGTTTAAAACTGCACAATTTGGAGTGCACTTCAGCTTTAGGTGCAAATGAAATGAAAGGAGTATGCCACGCATGTAAACTTGAGAAATGTACCTCTATGGGAGTGATGTGCCTCAGCAGAATTTGAAGGAGCCATAAGCCCTATTTTATATGTTAGGTAATCTAAAATTTTAGTTTATAAATCTAAAATATCAAATTAATTTATAAATATATATGCTCTTGTAAACCTAAACCTACTTGTTTAAAAAGGAATAAACTATAAACAAGCCACAAGACATTCGTGTCACTAGAACAAACAATCATTCTATTCCACCGTTGTTGCTCTTACTGTCAATAGCTCTTCCATTTTTTCTTATTTTATTTGCTCTTACTTCTTTCTTTATTTATCATTTATATTTTCTTTGATCATTTACATTTCCTATTCTATGTTTTGAATAAGATTTTCTCAATTTTCAATGAGACTTTCTGTGTAGTGTAATTTTCAAATGGTTAAGAGATATATACAAGAGTTAAATGGAAAATAGAAACAATCCGGCATGGAAGTAGTGTTCAAATGCAAAATTCAGCGAGTGAGAAAACTTATATTTATTTGATATGCAACTATTGCGATAAAGAAGTTAATAGAGATGTAACAGGAATGTAAGAACATCTTTCTAACCCTTATAAGAATGTTGCACAATGAACCAAAGTACTTGAAGAAGTGAAAGAAGAGATTAATGTTTATATGAACCAAACAATCATATCAAAGCATTTAGCACAATGATAATTTGATGATAGAGTTGGTAGTGACTCCTATTAGGCTAGTAGGCCTAGTGGCAAAGATTCTTCTTCTCCTAGGCCACAAATATCTAATACAGGTGATATGAGACTTACAAATCAATATGTGATGAATGTGGAGGATAACAAGAATGATTGTACAAGATAGTACGAGTCCAATTGTCTGGATAGAATGATTACTACAAGAAATTGAAAAAATATGTATGAGAAATGAAAGCTTCAATCACATCGGCATTTGCATGACATTCGATATTATTTGAACCCTTAATATCAATTTGATGAGAACAAGTACAACACTCCAAAGATCAAATTTGGTTTCCACTATTATATGGTTGCTAACTCGATACGGAGAAGGAAGCCTAATATCCAACTTATAGCTTTCAAAAATAAGGAAGAATTCTTTAGATTATGACAAGTCAAACATACTAGTGAAATATTCCCCTAGTAACGCTTCTATAAACACTAACTTTTAACATTTATTCATATGTTTTTTAAATTTATGTATTATGCACATTATGTTTTTTTTTTTAAATTAGTTGAGTAGTGGATTCAATTTAAAGATCATGCTCCTAATTTATAAAGACTTTGATTAAAATACCTTACATGCTACTCATCAATGTCAAAGAGAAATTAGAGTACTTAAAACCAAATTCATATTAAGAGAAAAAATCTCTTGACTACCTAAAAGATAAATTCATTCATTTATATTATATATAATAAAAGATTAGAAGATTGACATTTAAGTAAGAAAGTTTTGGATTAAGATGAATATCCTCTAAAATAATGATGTCTCATCAAATGACAAATGGTTAGTAAAAGGTTAAAAACGATGTTACATCCTCACAATTACATAAATATCACAATATTTATAGGAAAAAAAAGACTACCACAAGTCAACAAATATATATATATATATATATATATATATATATATATATATATATATAATAAAAATAAAAATTAGAATCCTAAATATAGTTTTTTTTTCATTATTATTCTTATTGATTGTAAATGAGGGAGATGGTTGAGATTGAAGATGATGTGGAAGATTGAGAGAATGTGATACAATTAAGTAT